TGGCGGTTCACTCACTAGGGAGTGCTGACAATCGGTGCTGGTCGCTGATGCAGCCCGACCAGCATAAGAGTGAAGCAGGGCAAGGCATCCATCCCTGGGAAGCGCAAGGGGGTACCTCAGTTGAAAATGCAGAAATCACCGGTCTTCTGTGTCGCTCGCGCTGGGAGTTGGAGACTGGAGCTGTTCCTATTCGGCCATCTTGCTCCGCCCCCCAAGAAATTATTTAGAAATGAAACAGAATTGGTTGTTACTCTAAACCCCCTCTTTTTTTTTTTTTGAGGCAGAGTTTTGCTCTTGTTGCCCAGGTTGGAGTGCAATGGGCTGATCTCAGTTCACTGCAGCCTCTGCCTCCTGGGTTCAAGTGATTCTCCTGCCTCAGTCTCCTGAGTAGCTGGGATTACAGTCATGGGCCACCACGCCCAGCTAATTTTGTATTTTTAGTAGAGACGGGGTCTCTCCATGTTGGTCAGGCTGGTCTTCAACTCCCAACCTCAAGTGATCCGCCACCTCCCAAAATGCTGGGATTATAGGTGTGAGCCACCATGCCTGGACCCCATTTTTTTTTTAAAGATGTTGAATTGGTCAGAGTTTGTAGTTACAAGCAACAGAAGCCAACGCTTTAAGCAGAAAAGGAATTTGCTAAATGATAGTGTGGCTGGGAGAATAGGTAGCCACAGATATACAAGCATGCTATAGGACCGTTCCCATGAAGAGGCATCTATTGTCACCACTGGACACAGATGGTACTGTGTCTCTGCTACTTTACCAATGCCACTGCTGTCTCTGACCCCAGATGTAGCCCCCTCTGACCCTGGATGTAGCTCCCTCTGGCCCCAGATGTAGCTCCCTCTGGCCCCAGATGTAGCTCCCTCTGACCCTGGATATAGCTGCCTCTGACCCCGGATGTAACTTTCTCCAACCCCAAATACAGCTGCTGCCCCCTTGCCAGAGTGAATACTACATCATTGTGGCTGCTGCTTGTCACTGGTTCTTACTTAAAATCTGAGCTGGAAATTCTAATTGGCAGTTTTGTCCCCTGCTCTTACCTTGTTGCAGTCTAGATGAGGTCTAATGTTCATAGGGTAGGGGATTTTCCAGGTATGGAAGGGGATACCAGTTTTCAACAGCCAAACAGAGTATCACATTTTCGCTCTAATTATGTTTCCTGGGTGTCTGACTCTTACGCTTCTTTCTAGCTGCAGTCTGCCTAATAGAGAGCCTTGCATCCAGCAGCTCATTACCTCCCAAAGCAACCCCAGCACTTTGGGAGAATCACTTTGAGCCCAGGAGTTCGAGACCAGCCCGGCAACATGGCAAAACCCCGTCTCTACTAAAAATACAAAAAATTAGCTGGGCATCCCAGCTACTTGGAAGGCTGAGGCAGGAGAATAGCTTGAACCCGGGAGGTGGAGGTTGCAGTGAGCTGAGATCATGCCACTGCACTCTAGCCTGGGGGACAGAGTGAGACTCTGTCTTAAAAAAAAAAAAAAGGGATGGGAATAGATTGTTTTGTCTCAAAAAGCTCTTTCCAGCTCTAAAACGTAACGGTGTGTGGGCTGCGCATCCTGGTCAGATCCGTTTTTTTTTTTAGACATCTGCAAAGTAAGAAAGTATATAAAGAAAAAAATTAAAATCCCATTTTTTTTTTTGAAAACTATTGTTATCATTTTTGGCTGACTTCTTTAGTGTTTTTCTTTTTTTTTTTTTTAATTTTTTTGAGTATGTAGTAGGTATATCTATTTATGGGGTATATGGGGTTTTTTTTTTTAGGATATGATGTGATTAATTAGCAAGGTTTTCTTTTTAATGCTTGCATTTTTTTTTTTTTAATCATACTATATATGCCTTTATAGATTACTTTCTTATATTACTAAAATTTTTTTTTTTTTATTTTGCATAAATATAATTTTAACATGAAATTTGAAGTTATAAAAACCTCTCGTTTTATTAAGAGATTAACGCTATGAAACATGCTGCTATATATTTTTGGAACCAGCTTTTTTTTTTTAGATCAAGGTAGGGATGTAGGTCCTTCCCCATTCTCTACACACAAAATCGCTACCCTGATGTGCAGCTGCAGCCCCAGTCTACACTCTCTGTTGTATTTTTTGTTCTCTGTTTTTTTTTTCCTTCCACCCTACTCCTAGCAATTGCTATGACAGCAAATAGATAACTGGCTTTTTTTTTTTCCCATCTTATTGCCTAAGGCAACAGGGAGCTTGTGGGCTCAGCTTGCAGTTCAGCAGCTGCTTTGTTGCCTCTCCTCTTAGGTATGAGGCCTGCCAGAGCCCACTTTTCTTTTTTTTTTGAGTTCGTTCATTCACTATGCAGTTACCGATCGTCTCTGGACCTCTCTCCTTTTTTTTTTAAGGTGATGAGCCAGTCCGATCCCCTGCAGCCCACAGTCTAGGCAAACCGACACGCAAACAAACAGAATCCAAAGTGCTCTCATGAAGCCTCTGAGAGGGGCTGCCTCAGTTTTTTTTTTGAGCTTGAAGAGGGCTCCACAGAGGAGGCTGTGCCTGAAGTCGATTTCAGTTTTTTTTTTACCAATTGATAATCACTTTTCTGTGGCCCGTCTTATTTTATTTCTTATTTTTTTTTTTTTAGAAGTACCTTGGGTAGGTTTTACCGTGCACATCATAATTTGGGTGAGCTTGGTGTGAGGCGTAACGGTGTGTGGGCTGCGCATCCTGGTCAGATGCTCCAGATGGAGGCTTTTTTTTTTGATGCAGGAGAGGCAGCCACACAGCACAGGTCCCCAGCCAGTGGACTGGGAGGACAGTGTGGTCATCTCTGGGAAAAGGGAATGACAAGGTCTGGTAGTGTGGCAGGTCCCAGAAGAAAAGGGCTGGGTTCTGGGCAGTGACGGTGCAGGTTGAGACCTGAATACTGGGTGGGGCCAACTGTAAGAGCCCACGCCTGCAGACTGGACTGGTGCAAGGTAGGTGGATGCCGTTTTTTTTTTACCCACAGGCACCCACTCATCCTCATGATCATGCAGTTCTCTGGTTTCTCTTTTTTTTTTCTGGGTTGCAGTCTGGGTTGCAGTCTGGGATGCAGTCTGGGAGTCCAGCGTTTTTTTTTTGGCCCTGGCATCCCAGGTGTGGGGGTGTGGCTTAACTTGGAGCTTCCTTCTTTTTTTTTTAGTGCTTGTCATCGTCTCCATCAGCATTGGCTTTTGGGCCTAGTGTGGCCTTTTTTTTTTTATTGGGATCAGCAGTGGAACAGTGGGAAAAGGAATGAGTAGACATGGCATTTTTTTTTTTGTTTTTTTTTTTTTCTATTATAATTATCATATTAAGCAGAAGTTTTGCTTTTTTTTTTTTCAGCCAGATACAAACTACTGTGAATAATATTTCATATCTTGTGTCTCTTTTTTTTTTTTCATAGTGGTTTGCAGCTATTGCAAATATCCTGGCCATGCGGTTCCTTTTTATAGCTGTTTGAATAGGAAAGATGACTTGGAAAATGCTGGATTCTGAACAGATTTATGTGTTTTTTTTTTAAACGTAGTTTTTCTCTATCAATAATGAGTTTGGATTGTAATTGCTTAGATTTTTTTTTTGTTTATGTAATGTACATTTGTTAAAATTTTTTTCTTAGGTAATCCCGTATTTTTTTTTTTTTCCTGATCAGTTGGATCCTGGAACTTTGATTGTAATACGTGGGCATGTTCCTAGTGATGCAGACAGGTAAAATCATTGTGCTGAAGGAAGGAGCATGAATAAGCTGTCTTTTTGTGATTGTGGAACGATAACAAAGAGTAATGTGGGAGAGACCATTTGATACTTTGAGTTTTTTTTTTCTTTCGTCAGCATCCCTGGCCAAGGTGCTGAGGAGCGTGGAATGAATGACTTTTTTTTTTTTATTGGGATTTATTTCATTGCTGTAAGTCTGATTTCAGTATAAAAAATTTTTTTTTTTTGCTGGGTGTGGTGACTTACACATGCTTTTCCAGCACTTTGGGAGGCCAAGGCGGGAGGACTGTTAGAGGCCAGGAGTTCGAGACCAGCCTGGGCAACATAGTGAGACCCTTTTTTTTTTTAAAAAAAAAAAAAATTAAAAAAAAAATTAACTGGACATAGTGGTGTGCGCTTTTTTTTTTAGCTACTCAGGGGGCTGAGGTAGGAGGATCACTTGAACCCAGGAGTTTGATTTTTTTTTTAGCTGTGATCAAGCCACTGCACTCCAGACTGGGTGACAAAAAAAAAAAAATTTTTTTTTTAAAGAATTAGGTATGTCATTAAGGAAAGGAATTGTGGTCAGATGACAGGGTTTTTTTTTTTGTAGTCTGACATTCCCACAGCATCACAGAAGATCTAGTTCAGATGGTTTTTTTTTTTTTTTGCTTTGGATGCAAGCTGTGGTATCGTTAGTGTTGGGCTCGGCTCTGTGTACCTAACACCTGAAGAGCAGTGGTTTAAGTGAGATGTGAAAATTAAGTCTCAAGGAGACTTTTTTTTTTTTTCAGTCAACTCCTTCAAGTCGTTAGAGAAGGAGACTCCTTCCAGCTCACCACTCTGCTATCTTGAGGGTGAGGTGAGGTCCCTTTTCCCGTTAACCTTGGCAGCTAGATTTTTTTTTTTCACCTCTGTGCTTTGGGTAGCTGGATGGGTGCACATGGTGTTTGCGGGGTTTTTTTTTTGGACAAAAGGCAAGTGCTTGCTGACTTTGAAGGCAGTTTCCAGTAGTCTTTTTTTTTTTTTTCACTTCCATCTTATCAGCAGAGCTTTAGCTGCACAGGCAGGCCTAGCTTTTTTTTTTTCTGGGAAAGGTAGGTTTTTATTCTGGGCAGATTCAGACCCATTTCAAACTTTTTTTTTTTGTTACTGAGGAAGACAGAAAAGAAGATTAGGCAGCCAGCTCTTTTGGCCTTTTTTTTTTTGAACGAGGGGGGATCCGTCAGTCCGGTCACTGGGCCTGGAGTGTAGTGCCTTTTTTTTTTTTCGCGGGAGCTTTCCTTTCTGAGCGCTCTTGGCGCCCCTGTGTCTTCCCTTTTTTTTTTCAGGTGGATCTGCAGTATGGCAGCAGCGTGAAACCTCGCGCCGACGTGGCCTTTCATTTCAATCCTCGTTTCAAAAGGGCCGGCTGCATTGTTTGCAATACTTTGATAAATTTTTTTTTTGGACGGGAAGAGATCACCTATGACACGCCTTTCAAAAGAGAGAAGTCTTTTTTTTTTTTTATTATGGTGCTGAAGGACAAATTCCAGGTAGGTTTTGGAGAGGGCCAGGTTGAGTCCTCATGAGCGAGCGGGACTGCACAGGGGCGCTTTTCACGTTTGTGAGCCCGGCCTTATATTTCCTACACCTGAGACATGGTTTGTTTGGCTTTGTAGTTTTTCTCCATAAAAGGACCAGGAAGGCACCTAAATGTGAGGTGTGGCACCACTACTCTCCAGCCAGTTGTTGCCGTTTTTTTTTTTGGTCCATTGTGAGCAGATCTTTTTATTAGATCCTGTTTCTCCTAGCAGGATTTTTTTTTTAATTGACACAGTATTATGTTAATGATGGGAGGGTAAGTTATAATATAACCTTTTTTTTTTGAAAAGCTAACAAGGGCAATCCTAGCATAGAAATCAGAAGGGTTTTATAATTTTTTTTTTTGCCACAAGATAGTTCTGTAGGATTGAGAGTTTAGATCCAGAGGAGATCCTAGAAATCCTTGATGTCACTTCCATCTCTGGCTTCATGGAGTGTCTTATACCTAGCGCGTTTTTTTTTTTTTGAATTTGGTCCTAGAAGCTCTTACACCGGCTGGCACTCCGGCCTGTGGTTTTTTTTTTGAGTAGAGGTTTGTACCAATGTGAGAACAGACCCGCATGTCTTTGGCGCAGATCCTTTCTGATCTTCAGGATACCGCTCCCGCCCGAAAATCTTTCTGAATCTCCCAAACTCCATTCACCTCTCCCTTCTCTGGCCTTTCCAGCCGTGTCTGTATCATTCTTTTTAACCATTTTTTTTTTGTTGTGCTTTGGCTTGATGTGTTTATTTTGCCCCCACAATGGGATTTGAATTTTTTTTTTTCAGAGACTGTATTGTATGCTGCTTGCGTTTTCTGCCTATAACCTAACCTTTTTTTTTTTATTTGAGAGGGAGGGAGGAGGAGCAACGTAGAGTGCTGAGGACCTGCGGAAGCTACTTTCTTGTCATCTTGCTACTGTAGTCTGTTGAGGTAGAGATTGTTCCTACTTCATTTTTTTTTTACCGAATCTTAAATATGTTGAGTAACTTGTCCATATTAGTTTTATTTAGCTTTTTTTTTTGATTTTGATCTTTAACCTGGGTTCACAACCTCCAGGGCACCTGTGCCTGGGTTTCCAGGAGACCTTCGAACCCAGATGTCTCACATGTATGCAGAGGCTCACACAGGCACTTTTTTTTTTATTTGTGACTGCGTGTTTGTCTGAGGAGATCCTGGTGCTCAATCAGATCAGGAACTCGAAGTTCGGAAGCACTGCTAGTGTTTTGGGTGCTTTTGGTTACAGTGTGGTCAGATGTGTGTGGAGACCTGTGGGAAAGGGTATAAAATTGGATGCAAGGAAACATTTAAATTTTTTTTTTTTGTTAATTTATTAACTTTTTTTGGGGGGGGTTTGTCTTCTGTATCTTCCTATTTTTTTTTTAATGGAAAACATACTCTGCTCTATGGCCACAGGATCGGCACAGAGAAAATTTTTTTTTTTGGCATTTATGGCAAAGTGAATATTCACTCCATTGGTTTCAGATTCAGCTCTTTTTTTTTTCTGCCACAGCTTGGGGTTTTTTATGAGGATGGTTTTTGATGAGATGGTAGTTTTTTTTTTCAAATAACACTTCTATTGACATAAAAAGGATGGCTATCCCTGATTGCAGTATTAATTTTTTGGAAGTGAACTATTCACACTAGCAGAAGGGTTTTTATCAGCCAGCGCTTTTTTTTTTTTAGGATCTCAAATCTCGTGTGGTTTTAGCAAAACATACATTGTTTTTAGCTTTTTTTTTTTTGTTGCCCTTGCATGGGTGTAAAATGGACTATTTCCATAAGAGAGTTTCCTTTTTTTTTTGTGTCTGAGTCAAAGAGCACAGTCATGTGTTGCATAAGGACAGTTCAATGATGAACCGTATATACAACAGTGGTCCCATAAGCTTGTCATACTGTATTTTTACTGTACCTTTTCTATGTTTAGATAAGTTTATATGCACAAATACTTACCATCCCGCTCTGGTTGCCTACAGAATTCAGTACAGTGCATGCTGTACAGATTCACTGTCCAGGAGCAACAGGCCACACCCTTTTTTTTTTTTGTGTAGTAGGCAGTACCATCTAAGGTTGTTAAGTAATATTCTGTGATGTTTTTTTTTTTACCAAAATCACCTAAGAACACATTTCTCAGAACGTACCCCCTTCGGCCAGTTTTTTTTTTTCACACCTGTAATCCCAGCACGTTGGGAGGCCGAGGCAGGCGGATCACGATTTTTTTTTTTCGAGACCATCCTGGCTAACACGGTGAAACCCTGTCTCTACGAAAAATACTTTTTTTTTTCCGGGCGTGGTGGCGGGCACCTGTAGTCCCAGCTGCTCAGGAGGCTGAGGTTTTTTTTTTGCGTGAGCCCAGGAGGCGGAGCTTGCAGTGAGCCAAGATCGTGCCACTGTTTTTTTTTTTGGGCGACAGACTGTCTAAAAAAAAAAAAAAAAAAAAGAACGTACCCCCTTTTTTTTTTTTCACGTGACTGTATTTGCATTGAACATTTTGATAGATACTAACTCACCCTTTTTTTTTTTTATAAAAACAATTTGCATTCTCAGCCGCCATCTTCCCACCTTCTTGTTGACTTTTTTTTTTATTCTGTGTAATGTTTGCCAATCTGATGGGGGCCGGAAAGGACCCCAGTGTTAAGTGTATTTTTGGATCATAGTTTTCAAGCATATTTTTAGTACCATTTATAATTTTTTTTTTTTTTTTACAGATTATATATAGAAAATATTTTCTACTGGATGTTACAAATTAATCTTTTTTTTTTTTGGATTTACAGAGCACCCAAGCATCTGGTCTGGAACTGACAGAGGTAAGTATTTTTTTTTTAAATACTAAATCTTTTAATGAGCCACTGGTTCAAAAATGTTGTTTTAGCTTTTTTTTTTTTGAAGTGACAGGAAGGCTGGGTTTTTGAAAATTATGCTTTTAGAACGCAATTTTTTTTTTGAAAATTGAGATACATACTTGTGGTGCCAGGCACTCAATAAGTTTTTGCTGACGCTTCACCAGTCAGTTTATGTAACTGCCACTCACTGTTCTTATGTAAAAAGAACTCTTTTTTTTTTTACTGCTGAATAGTACTGTTCTGGGGTATTTCTGAATATTGAACATCAGCCTTTTTTTTTTCAAATGAACTTCCATGTGCATCTTCAACCCCTGGGAGAATAACTGCAATGTTTTTTTTTTCCATTATTAATGGAGAAAGTGAGGTCTTACTGACTGGCATGTTCACAACTTTTTTTTTTTATAGAATCTCAGCATTCTGGGGGCACCTTGGAAAGGACAACTAAGACACGTTTGAAGTTCATGTAGTCCTGGGTAAATGTGGTGGCTCAGGCCTGTAATCCCAGCACTTTGGGAGGCTGAGGTGGAGGATTGCTTGAGCCTAGGAGTTTGAGATCAGCCTGGGCCACACATTTTTTTTTTCATCTCTGCAAAAAATTAAATTATCTGGGCATGGTGGCGCATGGCAGTGATTTTTTTTTTGGGAGGCTGAGGTAGGAGGATGACTTGAGCCCAGGAGGTTGAGGCTGCAGTGAGCCATGATTGAGCCACTGCACCCCAGTGTGGGTGACAGAATAAGACCCTATCTCTTATTTTTTTTTTCATATAGTTCTATGAAAAATTATTAATTTATGGTAGAGGATAAAGGACTCTTTTTTTTTTGGATATCAGACTGTCTTCTCAACCTGTGTAGCCCTTCACAACGCCATCCCATCCCATCACAAAGCACCAGCTGCCTGGAGGTCACACCAGAGTGGAGCAGGAGCGTCCCCTTTTTTTTTTAGGCTCAGCTCAGCACAACCAAGGCTTCATATTATAAACTATAACTCTTCTTTTTTTTTTGTTCTTGTGTTTTGTTTCTTTTCCAATAGGTTCCAAAGTCTGGCACGCCCTTTTTTTTTTGTATTTTTGCCTGGGTTATTTCATGTGGAATATTTTATAAAATTGCATAGTTTTTTTTTTGTTTAAACCTTGGAGGGCAGCTTCATTCATTCCATTCCTTACTGTAGAACTTTTTTTTTTCAGCCTAGTAATAGAGGAGACATTTCTAAAATCGTACCCAGAACTGTCTATTTTTTTTTTAAAGATTCGACTGTCAATCACAGTTTGACTTGCACCAAAATACCACCTATGAACTATGTGTCAAAGGTTTGAAGAGCCCCCAATTTTCTTAACTCTATATAAAAATTAAGTTTTTTTTTTCTGTTACAAGTAACCTGTATCCACAGTAGAAGCCCAAAGCAGCCCCCTCTGCATTTGTGTGCTGTCCCCGGACAGATTCGAGCGTCAACCAGGCCTGCCTCTGAGCCATTCCTGTGTATTTCCTCAGCGCCTCCCAGCTTGGCTGCTTCCCCTGCAAGCAGAACACAGTGTTTTTTTTTTCCCCAGGCACAGGGGGCCTTCCTGGGGTGTTTCACTCATACAGAGGGCATTTTTTTTTTTCCTGTCACTCATTTCATCATCTAAATCAGTGTGTGAGTGCCTCGAGCCGGGGACAGTGCTGCTGCAGGGGACCCAGCTGGGACCAAGGCAGACTATCTCCCCTCCTGGGATTTACAGGGTCATGGCTCTGAAACATTCTCTAGTGTTCTTTGGACACGAGTTTTCCCTGGAGATCACTTTCTGCAGACCTCTTTGTCCTAACTGTGGCTTCTTTTCAGAGCCTGCCATTTTTTTTTTTTTTGAACACCCCCATGGGCCCTGGACGAACTGTCGTCGTTAAAGGAGAAGTGTTTTTTTTTTCCAAAAGGTCAGTATCCTTGGGTAGCAGTCACAGTGCAGATACCTCCGTGTTTTTTTTTTCTTCCACCCCTGAGCGGTCTTATGAGCTAGAATTAGGGCTAGTGTCAGAATCTTCATTTCCAAGGTGAGATGATTCAAGCAGGAGGAGGTTAGATTGCTAACAGCTAGTTTTTTTTTTTTCCAAGACTAAAGCCCAGTGTTCTGGCGTCACCTTTTTCTGGCCAGACGAGTTTTTTTTTTTTTTGTCCACGAGGCCTACCCTTGCCTTGGAGAACTCCAGGGCAGCCCCGTTTTTTTTTTCAACATTGTTTTTTCTTTTTTTTTTTTTTGAGATCGAGCCTCACTGTGTCTTTTTTTTTTGAGTGCAGTGTCGCAATCCCAGCACACCACAACCTCCGCCCCCTCGGTGTTTTTTTTTTTCTCCTACCTCAGTCTCAGGAGTACCTGGGATTACAGGCGCACCACCACGCTTTTTTTTTTTTTGAATTTTTGTATTTTTAGTAGAGACAGGGTTTCACCATGTTGGCCAGGCTGATCTCGAACGCCTGACCTCAAGTGATCCGCCCACTTTGGCCTCCCAAAGTGCTGGGTTTTTTTTTTTGAGCCACCACCTCCGGCCCAGGCAACATTTTTTAGGGCCCCTGTTGTCATTTTTTTTTTAAAATTTCTGCTTTAACAACTTTTTCCAGAGATGTCCAGCCTTCTGAAAGTTTTTTTTTTGAGCTGTTTCCTAGAAAGTGGCATACTTTCAAGAAGGAAGGAACACGGGTTTTTTTTTTTAAGAGAATACCTGCTTGAGAGGATCCCAGGCTCCTGTGGCCTGAAGTAGTTTTTTTTTTTAACTGGCGTTAAACCTTCAATTTCTGTCCAGCCACATCTCAGCCTCAACGTTTTTTTTTTAGGGTTTAAATTTTTTTTTTATTTTACAAGTAACAAATTAGTGGAATACTGAGTTTAAAATTTCAACTTCATCTGCATTCCCATGTCCATGTGGACACATGTTTCACAGATTTTTTTTTTTAGTTCAAGCCTGGCCATTAACATTGCTGAAACTGCCACTACTCTGTCCTTTTTTTTTTTTTAAGGTTTGTTGTTTTTTGTTTTTTTTTTTCCTTTCTCAAAAGCTTTAATTTTTTTTTTCTAGCAGGAAAATCAAAGGATATCGCTCTACACTTGAACCCACGCCTGAATATTAAAGCATTTATAAGAAATTCTTTTCTTCAGGAGTCCTGGGGAGAAGAAGAGAGAAATATTACCTCTTTCCCATTTAGTCCTGGGATGTACTTTGAGGTGAGGTTACAGTTTTTGAATTTTTTTTTTCACCAAGCATCCTGGGAGCAGGAGTGGGATAAGTGGTCCATTTAAATCAATTTTTTTTTTAGTATGTGGAGGTCGTGTATGTTTTTTGTTTACTTGGAGATTGTAATTTGTTTTTTTTTTTAATGTGGGCAATCAGTATAAATAGCGAAGCCAGTAGAGTGTCAAATTATTTTTTTTTTTATTGACATTTGTCATCATATTAAAATTCCTGTGTAGCCCCATATTGATAGGAATGTAACCAGGAAGCTTGTCTCAGGACTGGAGTCACACATTTAATTGCAGAAGCGGACATGAGGACGTGGAGACCCTAAAACTGCTTGCTTGCACTGGCCATCACCTCCCATCAGGGTTTTTTTTTTTAGGTGGCAGTCCTTTCTCCTAAGGAGTTAGTCTTGTTTGTATGTATTCAATTTTTTTTTTATCAGTCCCTTGGAACTAAAAGGCATGTAGTCCCGAGTCCCCAAATAGGTGACTATTGTAACACATACCTTTCCCAAAATATGTTTTTGGGATGCTGAGCAGAGAATCGTCTCCTTGCGATGCGGATGCCGGGTGGTTGGCCAGCCTCACTCACCAGCTCAGGTGCCACTTTTTTTTTTTGTCACTTAGGGTCATTGGTTTAGGTTATAATTCTACAGCATTTTAAACTGTTTTTTTTTTTGGACCATGTGGGTTCTTGAGGACTCATCAAAACCCGTTACGAAAAGCATTTTTTTTTTTCAGAATAGATAGCAATGTGACATGCGTTATTTATTCCTAAGTTCCAGTCTTTTTTTTTTTCCTGGTATGTGGAGCGTAGACAGATGTGGGCTAATCATGGAGGGTTCCCTTTTTTTTTTTGATATTGGTTTGGAATTCAGAAAGCTGGGAAGGATGTGGAAGGCTGAAGGTTTTTTTTTTTAGATTTAGGGCTTGATCTGAATAAGTCCTTAGAGTGGGAAGGGCAGCACTTTTTTTTTTGCTTGGCAAGAGTCAAGGCGTAAAGGGTGACGTGGGGTTCGCTGGAGGGAAACAGAGGTGAGCGCTCTAGAAGGAAGTTGAGCCTTGTGGTGGGTGACAGGAAACCAATGTTTTTTTTTTTTTTGGACCTATCTTGGCCCCAAGTTTGGATTTACTATATTAATATAAAATTTTTTTTTTATGATACATTCAAGTAATGCTGAAAGATACTAAGATGAAAATATCTCCAATTTTTTTTTTCAAATCGTACCATTAGGATTAGATGAACCATATTCCAGGCAATTTTTTTTTGCAGAGACAGTGAAAAGCATGGCTGGCTGAAGGAATGAATAGATGGATGTTGTATGCTTTTTTTTTTTTATCTTTTCCATTTAATTTTCTAATTCAGGAACAGTAATTATCCTCATGTTTTTTTTTTTTGACGATTTTCTGTACTGATAGGTCCTTTCCAGGGGCTTCCATCTCTTGCCTTTTTTTTTTTTTTTTTTTTGACTGGATTGCAGTGGCCGGATCTCAGCTCACTGCAAGCTCCGCCTCCCGGGTTCCCGCCATTCTCCTGCCTCAGCCTCCTGAGTAGCTGGGACTACAGGCGCCGCCACCTCGCCCGGCTAGTTTTTTGTATTTTTTGGTAGAGACGGGGTTTCACCGGGTTAGCCAGGATGGTCTCGATCTCCTGACCTCGTGATCCACCCGTCTCGGCCTCCCAAAGTGCTGGGATTACAGGCTTGAGCCACCGCGCCCGGCCCCATCTCTTGCCTTTTAGCTCTGCTTGCACTGAGATTATCTCAGGTCTTTCCATTATACCATGACTGTCATTTTAAATCTTCTTGCTGTTTCAAACACACTTTAGTTGTATCTACAGTGTTTTAAAAACAATCTCATTCAGTATTGTAATTTCATCCGTGGGCTCTTCCTCTGGATGGAATCCATGTTCTTCCCAGCTGTTCGGCAGCATCAGATGGTTGTGAGGGATTCTGTTTTCTGTTTTCTTCTAGGCTGGGGGTCTTGCAAAGGATGTGCCTTCTTTTCATTTGCAGTAGTCTGCTCACCCAGAGGCATGTCATTTCTTTGCCACTTGCTTGTAATTCACTGGCTTTGTACTTGCTCTGATACAGTACAGGTGACTAATTGACTCCCTCTGCTGCCAACTTGGTTTTCCTTCTGAGCGATAGCATGAGGCTGTGTGTTTTGTGTTTTCTTGAGATTTTGTTAAATATATCCAGGGTCCCTTCTACCTGGTTGGAACTGGGATTTCCACCATTCTTGTGGGGACAGAATCTCAGGTTACATCTATTTCCCCAATCCTGTGTAGCCACAGAAGCTTCATTGGCCAGCTCTGTTATCAGAGTGCAGGACTTGAGCTGAAACTTCCTCCCTCCTGATTTTCCTTGGCAGCCCTTTCCACGGCTCCTGTCAAAAGAACGAAAACCCTCAACTTGCCGCTTTGCAGATTCAGGTTTTGTGCTTCATTCTGGCCTCTGGGGGTGGGGCCGGGTTGGCAGCAAGGCTGAGCTGCCCCTCCTTCTTCTGAAGCCTTCATGGGGGGCCAGGAGCACAGGGAGAGCTCAGTGCAGGGCCTCCCAGAGGCCTTCTCAGTGTGCGTGGAAACCCAGCCTGGCACTAGCAGCGTGGCGCCAGCAGTGTAAAGGTGATGTAAAAGGCTGGTTGTTTTTTTGGTTTTTCATTGTTTGAGTTTTGGGCACAGATGACTGTGAAGGGCAGACACTGCTGATGAATCTGAATGAATCTACCGGAATGCACAGCACTTCGCACTCATGGGATACCCAGCTTTGATGGCTTTGGACAAACACACTGAGGCTAAGATGTGCTGAGCTTATGGAATCAGGATCACCAAGCAGCTGTAAAAACCCTAGCAAGTGCCTTAAGCTGCTGAAATTTCGTATTAATTGTCTGGCTTGTTCATGATCCTAGCGTTTGAGGCAGAAAAGACAGGATCCAAATCCCTTGGTTCCAGGCTACTAGCTGGAAACAGCATCTCAGTGAACTAGAGCGACCACATTAGGAGTTTTCCTGCTTTAGGAGAGTCCCCAGCATCAGTGAGGAGGGGCAGCACTCCAGCTTTCCAGGAGCAAGGGGCAGGATGCGGCCGAGGGAGAGGGGCTGTTGAGGAAAGGAAGGCCGCAGGCCCTGGGGATGGTGTGAGGCTCCAGACACATCCAGGTCACTTCCCTGGGTGGGATGAGGCAGACAGTGCCACCACCAGGGACACTTTCGTTAGATTAGGGTCTTGGAAGTCACAGAAGGAAGTCAGCAGCAGCAGGCTAGGACTTTTCTACGTATAAAGAAATCAAATGGTTTATTCTGATACCCTGTTAGTGTGTAACACACACAAAATTTTAAACTAAGGGGAACCACTAATGGCATGTTTCCTTTCCTTTCAGATGATAATTTATTGTGATGTTAGAGAATTCAAGGTTGCAGTAAATGGCGTACACAGCCTGGAGTACAAACACAGATTTAAAGAGCTCAGCAGTATTGACACGCTGGAAATTAATGGAGACATCCACTTAGTGGAAGTAAGGAGCTGGTAGCCTACCTGCATGGCTGCTACAAAAACCGAAATACAGAATGGCTTCTGTGATACTGGCCTTGCCAAATCGCATCTCACTGTCATTCTATTGTTTATATTGTTAAAATGAGCTTGTGTGCCCTTCGGTCCTGCTGGGTGTTCTCAGTCCTTGCCATGAAGTATGGCAGTGTCTAGCACTGAATGGGGAAACTGGGGGCAGCAACACTTACAACCAGTTAAAGCCACTCTGCCGTCTCTCCTACTTTGGCTGACTCTTCAAGAATCCCATTCAACAAGTATTTATGGAGTACCTACTAGAATACAGTAGCTAACATGTATTGAGCACAGATTTTTTTTTTTTTTTTGGCAAAACTGTGCAAGGAGCTGGCATATACACTTAGTGGTCAAACAGACCAGTATGTTCCCTGTTCTCTTGAGCTTCGACTCTTCTGTGCTCTATCGCTGTGCACTGCTTTTTCTACAGGCATTACATCAACTCTAAGGGGTCCTCTGGGATTAGTTATGCAGCTGTTAAATCACCCGAAGACACCAATTTATCGAAGACACACCTCCTTCCCCGGTGATCACGCTCATAACCAGTGCGCTATCATATCCCCTCATTGGGAGGACTGATGTTGACTTACATCATTTTCTTTATCACAATAAACATGTGGCTCTATTAGCTGCAAGCTTTACCAAATAATTAGCACGACATCTGAGCACAGCACAGAAATTAAGGCAAAAAAACCAAAGCAGAACAAGGAAATGGTGCTGAAATTAACCTGATGCCAAGCCCAAGACAGCTGATTTCTGTGTATTTGAACTTAGGGCGAATCCGAGTCTACACAGACTCCTACAGAAAGCTTAAGGAAGAGGCAAGATGCATTCAATTTGAAAGGTATTTATGGGCAACAAAGTAAGGTCAGGATTAGACTTCAGGGAGTCATAAGGCAGGCAGTATCAGAAAGTGTACACCAACTAAGAGACCCACAAAGCAGGCAGAGGTAATGCAAACATCTGTTTTGTTCCCATGCAGATCACCACTCAAGGCCTCTGTTCTTAAGATTAGTCCATCATCATTAGCAACTGAGATCAAAGCACTCTTCTGCTTTAAGTGATTAAAATCAAACCTGTATCAGCAAGTTAAATTGTTGCATTTCTGTAATTTTTCTATTATTTGAGGGGAGTTGGCAGAAGTTCCATGTATATGGGATCTTTACAGGTCAGATCTTGTTTCAGGAAATTTTAAAGGTTTGGGAGTCGGGAGGGAAAAAAGCTCGCTCAGTGAGGATCATTTTATCACATTAAACTGGGGCAGAACTCTGCCAGGATTTAGGAATATTTTCAGAACAGATTTCAGTTAGATATTATTTCTATCCATATACTGAAAAGAATACCATTGTCAATCTTATTTTTAAAAAAGTACTCAGTGCTAGCCCTTAATTCTTTTTCAGCTTTTCATGTTAATTTATGCAGAGTCTCACCAAGCTCAAAGACACTGGTTGGGGGTGGGGGGTGCCACAAGGAAAGCTGTAGAAGGCAAGAAGACTCCAGAATCCTCCAGTTATTTTTCTTCATAAAGACCATCAAGGTGCTTAACCGAGCTTTGGGGACTGTGAGGCATTTGGGAAAAAAATAGCCCACTCACATCATTCCTTATAAGTCTTAAGTTCATTTTCATTTTATATGGAGTAAAAAATTTAAAAAGCTATTAGTATTTATTAATGAATTTTATTGAGACATTTCTTAGAAATATGCAATTCTATACAAGCAAGCTCTGTCTCTAAACTGCAAGTTGACCTTTTGCTTGCCACATTTCTGCATTAAACTTCTATATTAGTTTCAAAGGCTTTTAAACTCAATGCGAACATTCTATGGGATTGTTCTTGATGCCTTTAAAAAGGGGGCAGATTTAATTTCATTTGAGCCCTCACTTTCCAACTTCACCATGACCCAGTACTAGAGATTAGGGCACTTGAAAGCACTGAAAAAAATCTACTGATACTTACTGTCTTAGACAAGTAATTCTTAGTTAACCACCAATGGAATTGGGTTCATTCTTAATCTGGGAGGAGCTTCCTCGTGCCACCCAGTGTTTCTGGGCCCTCTGTGTGAGCAGCCAGGTGTGAGCTGCTTTAGAAGCAGCGTATTGCCTCCATCTCCCCTGTTTCCCAGAAGAATAAAGGATAAAGGTGACAGTCACACTTATGGGTTAAAAAAAAAAAAAGCATTCCAGAACCACTTCTCTTTATAGGCACAAGAAATGAAGGCTGAAGTTCGCCTACCCAAAATGAAAAGTAGGCTTTATGGTCAAAAGTATTTCTGTTGATTGCTAAATAACTTCATTTTCTTGAAGTAGAGAGCAACTTGGAGTGAAATCTGCAACACAGATACCATGTATATAAGACACTGCTGTACAGAAGAGTTAAGGCTTACAGTGCAAATGAGGCGTCTGCTTTGGGTGCTAAAAGTAAACAGGTCTGATATTATTACCATCAATCAGGAAGAGAATAATAAATGTTTAAACACACATCAGTCTGTATAAAAATACCATGTCATTTACTCTTTCCGCAGCTCTGCACAACAGGCAGGAGAGGCTTATGTGGTAGCATAAACCAGGTGAGAATTTTGTAAAGAAGTGATAAAACATTTGTTAAGTACCACGTAGGTGTATTAAGGCACCAAAAGTAACATGGCACCCAACACCCAAAAATAAAAATACGAAAAATCAGAACTCTGAGTAGAGTATGAAACACCACAGAAAGTCTTAGAAATAGCTCTGGAGCGGCTCTCCCAGGACAGTTTCCAGTTGCTGAATAGTCTTTTGGCACTGATGTTCTACTTCTTCACATTCATCTAAAAAAAAAAAAAATCAAAATTAAAATCTGAGTCCGTCCGCCTGCCTCAGTTCTCATTAGTTGAATCTTAATGTCTTGCATTCTCTGGCAATCGTTCAATCAAGAGTGAAATGAAGCACATTAACAAAGCAGGGGGCGCCACGGACCCCCTCCCTCCACACTGCTCCTTCTGCCTTCATTCCTTGCCCACAGGCTTGCCCTGGAAGCTGAATAAGAACCCCCAAAACTCAAACTTCCTAGGGATGCCACCCCTTTAGTAGCTCACACTTCCCCCCTCCAGGAGCTAAGAAACAAAGGAGAATGTACTTTTTTAGCTTAGATAAGCAGTGAATCAGTTCAGTACTGATCTACTTGCTCCACCATCCCTCCCTTAATAACATTTACTGGTATTTCCTGGGCCTAAGACTATGTTCTAGAACTGTCATAGCTCCCCATGTCACACTCACGAGCTTGTGATCTTTGTCAAATAATTGAAACCATTTAAGCCTCTAGTTTCTTCCTTTGTAAAACAGAGATAAAATGTGACTTTTAAGTGAAATAATCCATGTAAAGCACCTAACATGGAGTAGTGAAGGAAAGTCGCTTCCTACTAAAAGTGGACATCCTACTGCATCCTTAATGCCACTAGGCCTTTCCATTAAACAACCTCCCATCTGGGGACCAAAACTTCCATCATATAAATGTATGAGGTTAATGAAAAACACTACTGTAATCTGCTTGTATGATCACAAAACACCACAAAAGTAAAGACAGTGAAGATCACACTGTAAACGAACTCTCAAATGATCACGAGGTGGTCACTTCACAACTCGCTCCCTCCACCCAATTCAAAACAGGAGCTCGAGCCTGCCTGTATTTGAGACTGGAGCCGCCTGTATGAGGACTGGATCAACTGCTAGTCATGTTATATCCAAATCTGCATTATCATTGGGCACATTTTCACAGAATTTTACTGAATTATTCCTTAATTGTTTAATAGTTGGGAATAGTTTGGGAATTACCTTCCATCAACTCTGCTAAGAAAGGAATGGATTCTGGTAGCAAGACAATATAATTCTCCTTTAGTTTTTCAGCCAGTGCTAACACAGTAATCAAAGCAGCAAATCGAACCTGAAAGGGATAAAAGAGCAAAGAAATAAAAGGTAGTGTTACTGTATTATCTTAAGAGCTGTACTGACTTGAGACAAGCTCTAACTTTCTAAACTAAACATTAGTTCACATGCATTTATTCACCTCATTCAGCTTTCATCTTAGAATACCAGTTTAACCATTTGGGAGCTATTTGTAATATGCATAACCTTATAAATCAGTGTTTTCCAAACCGTGTCCCACGACTGCAAATCTTTAATGTGAAATGTCTTTTTATAATCTCTTCCTTTGAAAAAAAAAAACCAATAAAATAAAATGCCTCATGCAAACTCAAGTCTGTTGCAAATTTTATTTCACTGGAGCTCGCCAGCCCACCAGGCTGCCAATACAGTGCCTCTAGCCGCCTCTGGTGGGTCTCCCCACCCATAGCCCCTGACTGTGGTCACCACCATAGTTGTATGAGGGGCCAGGACACTCGCTTGGGGAAAGTGCCCATCTCAGCACTGAATAAAAAACATTCTGTGTCACGATACCCTAGTTTTGGGGCTTTAAAAATGTCTGGGTGTTCCTCACATGCCTTGTCTATGATAAGGAAAGCAAGCAGTAGTTGGGTATTGTTAGCTTTTGAAACAAAAGCCCTACTGGTCATCTAATTTTGGATATTTTAAAGAATATCTGGATAGTACAAAGTGAATTATTAAAAAACCAGTTGTAACTACCTAGATTCAATCAGGATTTACTTGATTTGTGCAATCAAAGTAAAATATTACAATAAATTTGACACTGCTACTTGTATAAAAACCTATGGTTTAAAATGTGGGGGTTCACGAAAACAGTCTCATTGTTAGCATATCCTAATAAAGAATTTGAACTCATAAATCTTCTTAATAAAATTCTGCTTTGGGCTGTTATATCCAGTAAGGTTCTAATACAGTCATTAGTTTGAGAAATGGCGACTTATTGCGAAAAGTTTGAAATTTGTGACACTTGGGTGTGGAATTTTGACTTACACTCAACCTACCCACCCATGTTTTATTTCCACTGCCACCACTTACTCAACAAGATCATAAACTTAGTATCTATAAACAACAGAAGGTATTGCGCTAACTCAAAAGACTATTCTGTGGACAAATTCAATGCATCTCTCTCTGGAGCACAATGACATTTCAATGGCACTTAAAAAACAAGGAATTACTTCAAGTCTTTGTTATTTAAAAGTATTTAGAAAGTATTTTAGTACTTCTGCCCAATGCACCATTGGGGTGGGGATAAGGGCATTGCTATTCTTTACAAATAGCCTGTAAGTAAAAACCAAAATTTTCTTAGGCACAAATTTCTGCCTAATACAAAAGACTGGACCTCTAGTACTGGACGACAAATAGCAATGTTCTTCCCTGCCAGTTTACCAGGGGCCTGCATCTGTGACCACCTGCAGGCTGTTTAGGCCACACAGTGAAAAGATGCAGTGTCAGTACTTGTCACCCAGTTCCTAACCTTAGGCGAGGCATCTCTGGTCTTTAGCAGAATCTGGTAGTTCAGTGGTTTCCAAAGAGAGTCATCCGCCATGGCCACCGAAAACTGCGCGATGCACGGTATCAGCTGCTTTGTCACCCGTTCCTGGAATTTCTCTTCTCCCCCAAGCCTGTTTTCCAGCTATGAAGACACAAAGACTTTGAACAACAGGTCTCATTTCTTTCTTCTGTTTGAAAAAATACCCAACATACACATAATTTACTATCTTTCATGATAGAGCAGGTTCAAAAACCAGGCACTATTCTAATACCATCTAGGGCAAATGTATTGCCTTCTGGAACTCAAATGGAGTTTTATACCCTTTACCGTCGCCCCTTTCTCTCCAGCAGAACATCTTGGAGGAGCTCTTTCCTCCAGAGGGCAGCCACGCTCTGACACGTTCTCAATGAGGCCCAGTTAAAACAAATGAATACATTAACCATGACACCTTATATCATGTCTTTCTTTTGAGCAGTTAAACAAACAAACAAAAAACCCAAAAAACAACTCAGGGCCAGGCACGGTGGTTCACGCCTGTAATCCCAGCACTCTGGGAGGCCAAGGTGGGCAGATCACTTGAGGTCAGGAGTTCGAGACCAGCCTGGCCAACACGGCAAAACCCCATCCCTACTAAAAATACAAAAATTAGCCAGGTATGGAGGCAGGCGCCTGTAATCTCAGCCATTCAGGAGGCTGAAGCACAAGAATTGCTTGAACCCGGGAGGTGGAGGTGCAGTGAGCTGAGATTGCATACTGCACTCCAGCCTGGGTGACAGAGCAATACCCTGTCCTGTCTCAAAAAAACAAAACAACAAAACAAAAAACTCAAATTCCACAATGAAGTTATATCTTTGAAAAAACAATTTTCAAATAAAAATTTCATTTAATAAGACCAAAAAAAAAAAAACAACCTTACAAAGGAAAAAGCCTAACAAGCTGTCATTCGAGCAGATCTAAAACCTCCAAGCTCGAACAGTGATGGCTTCCTCAGTAACGAAAGATGGTTCTGTTCGGTTACCTGATCCACCAGAGGCATCATCAAGGCTTCTGCTCTCTCTTTACTTATAAAATGCTGGGTATCAAAAAGGAAGATTTTGTATAAACAGTTCAAAATAAACTGCAACAGCAAGCAGCACTTTTCAGGGTCATTTTCAGAGTCAAAAAATGCTTCATCTGTAGATGTGGGAAGAGTAAAAATGAAAAACACTGAATTTAACCATTTAACCTCCAATGTTTACACTGAAATCACTATTAAAATAACTATAATCAGAAGAGTCTAAAATGATCTAGAAATCATAATCAGGATGAAGGTAGAACACAAAAAGGATGGTCTCTCGAAGAATGATTCCTTCTTTTAGAGTTAAGATGCTAACACTCGGTTTGGCAAGTTAAATTCTCTCAGCTGTCAAGTGGGTCATTTATTAGCATCAGAGAATAAACGAATCTTAATTTTTATGTTTTAAAGTTACTTCCAGTAACTGACAGCGATGGCCACTTACTTTATCCTTTCTCCCAAGTGAGCTGACATATAACATTTGTTCATCATGCTAAAACAACACTTCACTGTCTGACAACAATGAAGTAAAAAATTCATCCTCCTCAGCTTAGAACTTAAGAACTTTTAAAATCTTGTCTCCGAGCACTAGGTTGTGTCTTACTGGTACCTTGTATAAGGCACACAGAGCGACAACTGAACTGAAGCAACTACCCACCTGTTTTGGAGATGTTCACCTGGTTCAAGGTGTCAGCAAAAGGCTTCACTAAGTGGCCGGCAAACAGCGTAAAAAGCCCTTTCAGCTTTTCAGCAATGCAATCTGCCAAGTTGTAAAATGTCAACAACCTGTCCTTTGGGGCATCTTCTGTTTTAGCCCAATCAAACAGCTAAAAGGGTAAGATAGTATTAGTTTCTTCAACATCTTGTCACTTAAATCTGAGCACAAAGGGGAGGAAGAGGAAGAAAGCATCACCTTGAAGAACAGGGGTCGGAATGTGACCTCGGAAAGCTTGACAACCATGGCTACTAGACAGTCAATGATACAATTTTCTGTTCTTCCAACTTCCTCCAGATCGTTCTGAAAACAGAAGAGCCCATTTATTAGAGCGCTGACATCTAACTGTAAATTATGTTGGCAAGTACCACTGTTACGCAGCTAGACAGACTGTCCTTGGACTCTTCAACAGGTGGGTAACAACTCTAGGATTTGGAGGAGTGAACCTGAGCTTACCTCAGAGTGCTGGGCTCGGAAGTCCAGGGCCTCCAGGAAAAAGGCGGTCAGCTGAGACTGATGGGAGGTGAGCTCTTCCTTCTTCATCACCCCAATATGCTCTTGCAAGATGCTCATAAACGGACCCATGTGATTCTACCAATAACACAGTAAAGAGATGTGCCATTTTCAAATGATTCCTAGAGTTCAGCAATGTGCATTTTTCAAAATTAAATAAACATATTCTTCTTTAAGTCAAAGTTTACACATTTCAGTACCACCTCTCCCTTCTCCAAAGTCTTAATACCCAATATGAGCTAACCTTCCAGTTCTTCTCAATCTGCTTGTAAGTTTTTCTGATGGCGGGCAACAGGACTCGGGGTGCGAGTGTGGTAGCCAGTGTCTTTTTCAGAGATGTGAGACGGATATTAGCCTGTGAGGAGGCAGAACCCACTTCACTAGTGATTTTCTCCAAGTGAATCACCTACAGGAATATAAAAAAAGTGATCAGGGCCATTGCAGATCCTCGCTGACAAACATACACTTAGAGAAAAGCTTCATGATGACGCACTAGTGTTTGGAAAATGCTTAGCACCTTTTAACTACACTCAGTGTTCCTTTTAAAGCCAGCCCTAAACGTCAGTGGATAAAACTGGGCAGACACCTCTTGCCCAACTTGCGATCAGGGACAAAGGCCAGTGGTAGAGGCAGACGCACACAGAGCACCCAGACAGATGATTTTGTTAGAGGACAGGAATGCAAGAGACCATGGCAAGAGTCAAGCTGCTAAAAAACCAAGAAAGCTCCTCAGAGCACAGGCTGAGAAGGTGACTTGTAAGCCCTGGCTGTGGTGTATGTGAACCGGTTTAATCATTTGCCCATGGTAATGAAGGCTCCTAACCTTGTAAATGGCAAACGATCAACACAATGGAACAGCCAGGGCTCAACATTCTTGAGCATTTTCAATCAGAAATACCACTGGCCCCTAGCGTGCTGACAGGAAACTGCTGACCTGCAATACAAAAATTCTGCTTTGCAAGATGCCTTCGGATTAAACCTCTCACAGTAGAAACAGGGCCCACAAATTTCCACAAGTGATAAAAGGCGGCTCTATCAGCCCAACTCCAAATATCTCACAGAAGAGAAAAAAATCCAGAATACGTTGCGCACAATTAAAGAAGAGAAGCGCCTCACTAAAAAGTGACCCCCATATCAATTTCAAGATTAAGCGGCAAGGAGAATGGAAGAGAAAAAAATCCACATTTAATAAAAGCAAGCACATCTCTTTAGAAATAAGACTCCTTTCTGTCAAACAGAAACTAACCCTTAAAGAAAAAACAATCACGAAATCTGTGATCTTTTACTTGCCCCAGCCACCCCGTGTAGCGTGTCGCGGTCATCGTGGCTTACCTGGGAGAGAATGCCTTCCAGGTAGGGGCTGATGAAGTGCGGGAGAGTCTCCACAACCTTCTGCAGGGCGGCCAAGGCACTGAGCAGGTAGACCTCACTGGAGACCAGCTCGCTGGTGTTCTTCATTGTTGTCAGCAACGAGGGCATCAGGCTAGAAACGGAGTAAGAGCTTTAGAGGAACTGAAAGCAGAAACGGAGGCTAGGGAATGCAGCAGAGGCATTCGGAAAAAAACAACAAACTGCCTGTTCCCTCATATCTCTATCTACCTCACAGCCTAAAAAGCGCTGTCTACACATTTTATGTGGCTAAGCACAAGAGATCTCCCAGTGCCAACAGTATACGGACACAACCGTAATTTAAAAATTAACAATGGTTTTCATTAACTGAACACTTACTATGTTTCAGGCACTATGCAAAACTCCTTCCAAGCACTGCCCTACAGAAATCCTATGAGGTAGATACTGTCTCTGTTTCATAGACAGTAAAGCTCTAACAGGTTAAGGAACATACTGGCTGTGTACAGTAAGGAACTACCATAGCCAGGAGCTTCTAACTTCCAAATTTGGCAACAGAACGCAGCTTTGGCCTTGCCTAACTGGGTGGGCCCCTCTGCCGAGAACCTTCACCCACTGCTTTTTGACTATGCTAGACAAAAGGAAGGAAGAATGGGGGACGATTAACATCACAAAGCAGTGCATCTGAAGATAAATGGGAAGGCTGTCTTTCCGTTTGAAGATTATTTTTATTGTTTTTTTTAAGAGACAGGGTCTCACTCTGTTGCCCAGGCTACAGTGCAGTGGTGCAGTCATAGCTTACTATAGCATCACACTCCTGGGCTCAAACGATCTCCCTGCCTTGGCCTCCCAAAGTGCTGGGATCACACCCTGCAAGATCAATTCTTTAACAAATCCAATTTTATGCAACGTCTACTCAGAGGAAAAAGAAAAAAGTCACCAAGGTGTTATTTTTCAATGTGTGGCAGGCGGTAACAGCTCCTGTTTAAGTCTCCGGCCGCATACCTGGGAAGCTGGGGGATGGCCAGCGCCTCCAGGGTGGAGGTCACCTCTGCTACGCACAGCAGCGCGCTTCCCAAGACATTCTTCTCCTCCTTTCTCTCTGGAGCAATCAGTTTCACAGCAGTGCTCAGCACTGGGACAAAAGGATCTGGATTTGCTGCACCAAAATTCTTGCATAAAAGCTTTAAGGTATACAATGCTGTCTGTCTGTTGATTGCTTGTTCTTCTTCCCCTTCCTTTTTCTTACGCTGCACAATGGCCAAAAGGTCTGGAACCAGTTTTAGGAAACGGGTAACCTGAAGGGGACAGCCAGAATCCCCAAATCATTAAAGCTGCAAAAAATATTTGTCCATTTTTCCCATTGTCACAGCTTGACACTGTCCAAATGGAAATCAGACTCCGGGGTCCTGAGTCACACAGTCATGGTAAGCAAAATGCATGTTCTAACCAGTTTTTCACACATACAATTTGGAGTAAAAGGGACTTAGAATTATGCTAAGGCTAAAGCCACAAAGCTGTGTAGGAAGACTTCCACTAGGCTGAAATTTCATTCTAAGAGCTCTTACAACACACATGTATTCCCATTAGAATTAACATCACATTTTAAAACATGTCATGGGATTATATTCAGATAATAATATACTTCAATTTGAAACTGTACCACTAGAGAAACTGAAGGGAGTTAAATGCAGCTCCTTGATAAAGCAAAGTAAATGGGTGTGTCCTGGGTCTTCACTCACTATTGTCTTCTTCCAGGATATATTCTGCTGTAGCTTGTTATTCAAAAGGTCCAGCGCTTTCCGCCGAACAGATGGCAGGCGATTGCCCACCAGCCCTCTGATCACAGGAATGAATGTCTCTGTGGGCAGCAAGGCATTGACCTGAAGAGAAGTTTTATATTTAACATGATAAGAAAAAAAAACAAAAAAAAGATCAACTTCAGTTAAGACAGACTGCTGTCATTGCACACCTCCAGGCACCAGGCACTTTCACACACATTTTCTTATTTAATTCTTAAAATAACCTTTCAGGTAGGCATTACTAACCACACATTATCAAACAAAACAAAAGCTTGATGTCAGGAGGAAGTGTCAAAGGCATAAAGCTAAACCATTTAGCTGGATTTGAATTAGCAATCCTAATTTCAAGGCCAGTGATATGCATATAACATACTTCATATTTTTATTGTATTCTACTTGAATAAAGTAGAACATTATATATTACATGACTTAATTTTTAAAATATGTGAGGTACATATTCTCATAACTGGTAGGGAAACAATTTTTTCCAGACAAATTTATTTCTAGTCATCAAGAGATTATTTTCTAAGAAAAATCTGAGCTTTGTTATATTCATAAAAGGAATTGCTAAGTTTTTTCTTAAAAACTTTAAATGATTTCACAGTAATATAAAAATATAAATAAAAAACAGCAACAAAACAATTAATTCCAGGGAGAAATGAAAACCTACCTTGTCCAACAGGTCGTAAGCTTTACTAAGGAGCGCACGCCAGAACTTCACAGTGAGTTTGTCTGCGTTCCTTTCCATGGACTGTGCAACAGCATTGATATAGCCGAGAACGGTCTCCAGCAACCTGAAACACGCAGCCTCGCTCAGCAAACAGCAGCTGAAGGCACTCAGAGAACTCGCTCATGTCTATCTCATGCTAAATGTTTCAAGTAGAAAGACCAATTAAATAATTCTGTACTAAATTATTTCAAAAACTACTCGGACAGAAAGGAAATGAGGGATTACTGCCATAGACAGATATCATCAAGAAGTAACTAGGCACTTCCGTGCAGAAGCATCGTCCTCGCTCAGATTGTGAGGTGAGGAATAAACAACAGATGCTGAAGGCATTTAAGGAACTCACTCATATCTAGCTCATGCTCAGTGGGTCTCACCGTGCTGTCCAAGTGGGGTGTTCAGGGAATTATGGTCCTAGGTTAATGGCAGGTGTGTGCACACACACATGCACACACACGCACACACCATTTGTATAAAGAGAAATATTAATACAAATGAACATATAACCCACTTCTTTCACATTATTAGGAGACCAAAAAAAAAAAAAAAAGACTATAAACTTCAAATAACCTGTAATTAGAAAAGCACACATCAAATTCCAACACAACTACCACTGGAGATCCCCCTCTGCTGCCAGCCTGAGGTGGGAGCTAGAAGGAAGAGTGGAGACAGAAGCTGACATAGCACAGCAGAGGAGGGGAGAAGGGGGCTCAGACAAATCAGCTCCAAAAACGAAAGTCCTACACATAGCGCTAAAAGTCGGCCCACAGGACTGGAGCTCAGCAGCTCACAATCCTGGCTACAGGGCAGGCACTTTCCAGCGGACAGGGCAGGACAGTGGCCCTGGGAACGCCCTGCATCTGAAAAGGAGGTACACAGCAAGGCCAGGAGGCACCCCCTCCGAGGACATGAGAGTGAAAGGAAAATTCCTGCACCCAAATATATAATGGCAACATATGGATTATAATCCATGGAATAAAGAATTCATGAGCCCACAGAAATCAGGGCCAGATGAAAAGACACTAAACAGATATGGCAACTCAATACAATACCGAAACTTGACATGGATTGTGAAGCAGAAACACATGCGGTGTAAAGGACAGTGCTGGGATAACTTGGGAGACTGGAATAGGAACTGTAGATTACATCACTAGATTGGACCAACGTTAAATTTTCTGAATTTGATCAATGTACTGTGGTTTTATAAGAACATCTCTTATTCTTAGAGACATAATATATATGACTTACTTTCACATGGCTCAGAGAAAAAAACCCTACGCAGCGAGAACGCTAAGGTAAATGTGGCAAAAGTGAACCTGGTTGTAAAGAGTATATGAATTTTCTGTACTATTTTTCCAGGTTTTCTATAAGTTTGAAGTCATTCCCAAATAAAAAGTAAAAAAAGAAAAGTAAACATACCTCTCTTCAAGGCCTTTTAAAATCTCAGGACCACCACTCTCAACTACCTAATTTTTAAAGAAGATGTCATTAGAATATAAAAGTTGATAATAAAAGTCATTTCAAGTCAGTTCAATGAAACTTGGACCAATCACTCAAACTTTCCATAGCAACTTTTTCTGACATTACAATTTAATCAGGTTCATATCATCCTCATTATACTGTAGTAACTCTATTTATCTTAATTTAATTACATTCTAGTACTACAATGGTTCAGAAAAATACAGCAATCAACACTGAATTACCGCTACTGAATTCTATGACATGCTGATCTGGTGAGCACACATATCATTGTTTGAGAAGTTAAACATTACAGATTTCAGCTGGAATCCCCCAAGTACTGCTCCTTGGTCCTATTCTCCCATTACCCAAGTCCCACAAACACAACCATCATCCCAAATCTGCTACCAAATGTTTCAAACAGTACATATCATGGAACAACATGTTTTTCTGGAAACATATTTTTGAGATCTATGCATGGTGACTTATGTTCTAGTTCATTCATTTTAACTGCATATGATATTCCTCTATAAATACAACTTATCTATCCATTTGCCTCTGTTGCCAGATGTTCAGTTTATGTCCATTTTTTTCCCCTTTTATTAGCAATGCTAGAGAAGAACATTTTTATGTCCCTTTGAGCATCTAGGCAAGTTTTTACAGCATATATGCCTAAGGAAGGGAATGACCAGATCATAGGAATTACCAGAACTTTCAACCTCATGGGATCCTGCCAACCGCTTTCCAAAGTGGTTGGAACAATCACGCTGTCTGCCACTACCTACCCACTCCCTGGGATTAACAACTTCAACAGTTTTGCCAATTTGATGGGTATCACATTTATTCACATTTCCTGCTTACTGGAGAGGCTAAATGACATTGTACATTAAATGGCCATTTGTGATCCCTCTTCAGTGAATTCATCTTCTTTGCCAGTTGTTCTAATGGAAACTGATGTTTTTTTATTTATGCAGAGCAATAATCTTCTCTTAGGCTGTGGCCTTCTAGTGAATCAAAATTTTAAAGAAATTCTTTTCTATCCTCCAGTCACGATCATGTTCTCCTTGATTTTCTTCTAAACGTTTGAACTGTTGTTTTTCACAATGAAGTTTTACTCTGACTAAAGTTGTCTTTTCTATAAGGTGTGACATCAGACTTTTCCCCAAATGGAAAACAAATCATGCCAGGGCCAGCACTTGAACCATTCTCTCCCCCAAGTGCTTTGTAAAACCACCTACTGCACTTCTTACCTACGCCTGCATGTGTTTCTGGGCCTACTGTTCAGTCGCACTGGTCCATCATCAGATGTATGGTATGGTATCAGATGGTATGGTATGGTACCAGATGTATGGTATGGTATCAGATGGTATGGTATGGTACCAGATGTATGGTATGGTATCAGATGGTATGGTATGGTACCAGATGTATGGTATGGTATCAGATGGTATGGTATGGTATCAGATGTATGGTATGGTATCAGATGGTATGGTATGGTACCAGATGTATGGTATGGTATCAGATGGTATGGTATGGTATCAGATGTATGGTATGGTATCAGATGGTACTCCTGTACCATACCCCTGTCCTTGGCCCCTTACAGTTTGGTATCAATGTATCAATATAATTTCTTAAAATGATATAATTGAAAAAGCACAATAAGTTTCTAGACTAATCTGGGCAGATCTGCCATCTTTAAATAGCGAGGCTTCTTATGCGTAAACAGTGTCTCTCTTTCCATTTCCTCCAAGTTTTCTTTTGTGTCCCTTCATATCTTGGACATTCCTCCATAATATTTGTGCACATATTTTTGTCAGGCTTGTTCTTGGTACCTTATAAGTTTATGTTTTTTTTAAGTTTATGTTTTTATTATACAGGAAATCTTTTTTATCTACTCTGTTTTCTAATTTGAGGAATAATATTAGTAACGGTGTGTGAGACTAATTAGTTCAGCCAGCTTACTTGATACAGATCACCACCTACACTTATCTCTAGATAGTGTCTACACTGATCTCTCTCAAGCAAGCTTACTGAACTCATTATTAGTTCTAATTGCTGATTCTCTTCTTTCCTGTTTCTTACACTTCATTTCTTTTCCTGAATAGAAACAATGACAGAGGGCATTCTTGTCCCTGACTGCAGCAGGCACACCATTAATATTTCATCATTAGGTATGATATAAACCACAAGCTTCAGATTGTCACCTTTATTAGGCCAGAGTAATTCCCACCTATCCTGCACTGCCGAGAGGATTTTCTTAAGTTGTGAATGAGTATTGAATCTGCTGAATTATTTCACTGTAAAATGTAAAATGATCATATGTTTTCCCTTCTTCATCTGTTAATGCATTATAGGACTTAATGTACTTTACAGTACTCTAATGTCAAACCATTTTTATATTCCTGGTCATGATATTCCTTTCTTTCCTTCCTTTTCTCTCATTGTTTAAACAAGTTTAATACACAAACAGAGATGTACACAAATCATACATGCAGAACTCACTATATCCAGGTAAAGAAAGGCTGGGCATGGTAAAGAAAGGCTCGGCATGGTGGCTCATGCCTGTAATCCTAGCACTATGGGAGTCTGAGGTAGGAGGATCGCTTGAGGCCAGGAATTTGACACCAGCCTGGACAATATAGTGAGAACTCGTCTCTATTAAAAAAAGTTTTAAAATTAGCCAGACGTAGGTGGCACCCGCCTATAGTCCCAGCTACTTGGGAGGCTGAGGCAAGAGGATTGCTTGAGCCCAGGAGTTCCAGGTTGCAGTGAGCCATGATGACTCTGCCGCACTTCAGCCTGGGACACAGAGTGAGACCTGTCTCACAAAATAAAATAAAACACAGGCAATTTATCTACTCTGCTGGTAGACATTTGAGTTGTTACCAACTTTGTGCTACCACGAAGAATGTTATGAATATGATAAACATTCTTGCAGTTTTTTTGGTGTACATGTTCATATACTTCTGGTGGGTACACAACACTTAAGAATGAAACCACTGAACATAGAGTTTACATTATGTTCAATCTCAGTAGATCATGACGAACAGTTTTTCAGAGTGAAATGTACTTTTTTTTCTATTATCTTTAAAGGCATGCCTCACATTTTCATAAGCCATTTACCAAGCTACTTCTACTAACTGAAAACACAGTTCCCTTGGAAACAGCAGAATTACCTTTTTATAAACACATTTAAAGAACATATTACCTTTTTCAGAAAATTATTGGAAGACAGGAGCTGAGACATGAAGGACACTGACAAAAATTTAAAATGCCGCAGTTGCTTGCTAGTGTGAGTCTCTACATTAAAAATCTGTAGCATTTCTTCTTGTGAGTCACTCTTATTAGACACTGCTTTGGAAATGATTTCTGAAACAGCAACAAAACAAGTGACCCAACTCACTTTCACCCAAATCCTTCATACAGAATTAATAGATATGACCTTTCAAGTAAAGGATGGTTAATGGGATAACATTTTCACAGAGAAATTTATTCGTCTATTACATCCAGTTTCTCCTCTTCTAAATTAGTGAAAAACATGAGTGTATTTGCCAAGAAAGTACCCAATGGCCCTGAGAAGCGAATGTTTAAGACGAAAAACGAAACAGGGAAAGTGGACAATCAGATGGAAGAAGACGATATCACAGAAGGAGCCTTTGAACTTCCAACTGCAGATGTAGGTTTCTTTATTAAATGTATCTAATGTAAATGGGGTTGGCAGTGCAGTGTTAAAAACCACTATCCTACAGAATGACTTACTGCTAAGACATTTCCTTACCCACATCACCACATACTCTCCAGGGACCTCCCGTGTCTGTCCCTGCCAAACCTGAGCTGACTGCAGGATAGGACAAGTCACTGCCCGGCCAAACAGGGATGACAGGGCCAATGGCTGGCCATGCAGAAAACAGTCTCCGCGGAGCTCTTAGAGTATCTTCTTTCTAACATGCCTTGTTGTTCTGCTTCGAAGAGTAGAAAACTAAGAACTTTCAACATGTCAACCCTTTCTTAACGAAAAAAAAATTTTTAGAGATGGGGTCTTACTATGTTGCTAAGGCTGGTCTTGAACCGGGCTAAAGTAATCCTCCTGTCTCACTCTCCTGGGTAGCTGGGACCACAGGCTGATACCATCACACCTGGCTTCATCAACCCTTTCCCAAGCCAGCCTCAGTGGTGCTGCGGTTAGTGGGATTTTCTTCAAGGCTCTGCTGTATGGTACAATTTTAATATTTTGCTGCCACTCCTGTGGTACCTACTTTTTTTCTTTTCATGTACATGTCTTCAGATATTTTAATGAGAAGCTGAGAGACAGCTAACGAGGTCCTGATCATTTACTGTCATTCGAACCTAACTCATCCTGGATACCAGCAACATTCCACAGCCAAGATGTAAGCACAGGGCACAGAGGTATAAAAGACAATATGTGAGGAATGGCAAATGGAATTCCGACTATTTTCCATAAGGATTCAAGAAAGTACACAATCAAATTAAAATGATTAACTTACTTTAAAAATCCTTCTGAAGATGTACTAAGGATAACCTACATTCTCTTCTGTTTCTCCTTAGCTTTCAGATTGAACGGTAAGTGACACCCGATCTACACTTACCTTCTTTTTCCTCTGGCAGCTTTAGTAAGTACTGGAGGATATTCATCAAGCTTTGTATCTGATGCTGGACACTAAACTCACAACAGACTGAAAACCAAAATTCAGTGTCTGCTTCTAAAATAGCATCCTGTGTAGAAAGAGAAAAAAGTAATAAATCTGTACTTAGGAATTGTGAAGGCATAATTTCAGGATAATGTGCATTAGGATTTCTAGCAGAAAAGAGTATACTACTTTATTTAGAGTAGGTCAAGATCTACTCCCAGATCCCATGTCTAAGAAGTCATTTAAAAATGGTCCTTGACTTATCCAAACAGGGCTTTTCCAAACAATCACCCGTGTTTGTGTCTTACTAACTTCAGGGACACGGAGGCTCCTCTATTCCCCCACAAACTGCCTTCAAAACCACTTTGAAGAGACACTGTTTGATTACTCATCAGCCATACTCTCCTGGGCTCAAAACAGAACCACCTGCATGGCACCAGATCTGTTTCTCAGAAAAGTTAATTCACCCTCAGATGTTTTGCTGCAACTGAGGATATTCAGAGTGCTATGGGCTCTGAATGAAATTCTTTTAAATGCCAAAAACCTTTTTGAAAAAGGTTCTGAGCAAAAAGGTTCCAAATAACACACATTAGGCATCACCAGCCCCATGTTTAAACTGGACAATAACATAAAATCTGTGTAAATCACCATTTTCCTTATCTTCCCACCCTAGGTTCTGACCTTTTCTCCATAGGCAGCCGCCAGCACTGTTTTTGTGACATACTGTTCAAAAAGCAAGATGAGGAGAACCCAGAGGAATTTCTCTGCACCCAGTGTATCAACAAGCTGAACAAGGATGGGCAGGCGCCTGTGCTCCGGGACGTGTGGCAGTGCATCCACAAATACACTAATGATTTTTACCACGATCTCTTCAACGTTTCTTGAAACTTCTATAGAATCTCCACTGTCAGACTGCAAAACAGCAAGCAGAGATAGTAAGTAGATGCAAGTAATCTTCCACAAAAAAAGCTTTAGGTGGAAAAGATAAGGCTTTTAGATGGGCCCCAAGAAGTTACCAAAAGAATTTTATTTATTTTTTTAGAGACAGGGTCTTTCTCCGTGGCCCAAGATGAAGTGCAGTGGCGTGACCATATCTCACCGTAGCCTGGATTTCCTAAGCTCAAAGCGATCCTCCTACCCCAGCCTCCCAAGAAGCTGGGACATCCCAGAACCCCCGTCACCACTTTTTAAAAATTTTTGTAGAGACGGGCTTTTGCTATGTTGACCAGGCTGGTCTCAAACTCCTGGCCTCAAATAATCCCACCTCAGCCCCCAACGTGCTGGTGTTACAGGTGCATGTCACCACACTCAGTCAGCCACAAGAGTTTTAATAATCAAAGCCCTAACAATAAATATTCAGTAAGTAACTGTCATGTCCCAGGTGCTATTTAGCCCTGAGGGGAATACAAAGTGTATGATATGAGCCCTGCCCCAAAGGAGGTTTCTGTATGAAACAGGATACATGGCCGAGCGCAGTGGCTCACGCCTATAATCCCAACACTTTGGGAGGCCAAGGTGGGCAGATCATCTAAGGCCAGGAGTTCAAGACCAGCCAGGCCAACATGGTGAACCCCATCTCTACTAAAAATACAAAATTGCTGGGTGTGGTGGTTCCTGCCTGTAGTCCCAGCTACTCGGGAGGCTGAGGCAGGAGAATCACTTGAAACCAGGAAGCGGAGGTTGCAGTGACCCGAGATCATGCCATTGCACTCTAGCCTGGGCAACAAGAGCAAAACTCAGTCTCAAACAAACAAACAAACAAACAAAAGAAACAGAATACATATGTGAAAAGATAACAGGAGGCAGTAACGGCAGATGCCAAATACGTGACACTGATAGCGAGTCCACTTAGGCTGCCTGGGAACACTGCATAAATCACGCAGGATTTGGGTTGTGCCTCAAGAAGAATGAAGATAAGCAGAGCACAGAAAAGGCCAACAACTTCTTGCTGCTTTCGGAATAAAGTTTGAACCATTTTATTCCAGGTATTGGCGATCAAAATACAGTTGTTGAATAAATGACAGAAAACACTTGAATGAATGACTAAACCAACGTCTACCTGTCTCAACCCTCTGCTCTCCATCCATCTATCACCATTACATTCTTCAAACACGCTGTGAACATTCCTAGATCACGCCTTTTCTCATACTATTGGCTCTGCCATCACTGAACAAATCCTATCTTCTTTCACACCGGTTCAAATTTTCTTACAGAACCTTCTGGTCATCCTGTCCCATATGGACTATCTCCTATTCTGAACTCTTTAGCATTTACTTGACTGGCACTGACCATATGAATGCATATTATTATTTTTCTTTTTAGGTATATATCCTATATTTGCCAACTTGGTGGACACTGAGAACACCAATCTAATACTAAGGTTAAAAGAAGGTGCTGAATATGGTGATCACTGGGATGGTCAATAGCATGAGAAAAGACATTAATTAACAAGTGAGGGTACATAGAAAACTCAAGCAGATGACCAAGCTCTTTTATTCTTGAGGCTACTTTTAACTTTTGAATTGTTCATTCCTTACTGGGAGAGAGAACATCTCACCTCTCTCTCTGAGTTAATGCTTGGCAAACATCTGCTAAACTGCATGTTAACAAATTTGTCACTGTAGCTCTAAAAGTTCCTATCCTCATCAACATGTAAGAAGGTACTATCAAACTGATGCAGTGTCCTGAAATAGATGGTGGATGTAAATTTACCCCATCCAAATGATGTTAAGACACTTACAGGTACACACACAGAGCACAGCAGAACCAGCTATAACGTGTTTGGATTATTGGGAAAGACATTGCCCAGACTGCTTCTTAGCTTCAGCATTCTAAAACTTAAGGGCAATGTATCTGAGCATTTCAGAAAGGCTTTTATACAATTGTTGAGGATATAAAAAAAAAAAACCCAGGCTTTTAATGTCATTTATATGCAAAATTCTTAAATTAAAAAAAGAAACCCCAGGATGGTAAAAAGAGAGCTTACCTGAATAAGTGCAGGAATAACCATTTTCACCGTCTTGTTAATAACCTGAAAACTGTAAGTATCATCCAGGCGCATGACATTGGCTCCCATAAATGTAAAAATAGACATGATATTGTGTAGAACTTTATCCTGAAAGAAAACATAACTATCAACATTTTCTATTTCTACTAATTTTTTTTTTTTAAGAGATAGGGTCTTGCTCTGTCATTTAGGCTGGGGTGCAGTTGTGTGATCATAGTTCACTGTAACCTTGGACTCCTGAGCTCAAGCAATCCTTCCACCTCAGCCTCCTGAGTGGCTAGGACTACAGGTGCACGATACCATGCCCAGCTAATTTTTTTTCTTTTTCCTTTTTATAAGGATGGGGTCTTGCTATGTTACCCAGGCTGGTCTTGAACTCCTGGCCACAAGTGATATTCCTGCTCAGGTTAACATTTTCCATTTCGATGATTCATTACAACTCACCAATAAAAAGAGAAATAACCTGATTAAAAAACAGGCAAAGGATTTGAAAAGACATTTCTCCAAAGAAAAAATTCATACAAAAAGAATATAAGCACAAATACTACTTCACACCCACTAGAATGGTGATAAAAAAGACAATAGCAAGTACTGGCAAGGATGTGAAGAAATTGGGATCTTTACAGGCTGTAAGCAAAATGGTGTGGCCACTATGGAAAATAGTCTCGCAAGTTACTCAAAAGTTAAACATAAAATTCCGTTTGACCCAATAATTCCACTCCTAGGTATATATACCCAGGAGATATGAAAACGTGTCCACACGAAACCTGGTCTAGAATATTCATAGCAACATAATTTATAATAGCCCCAAAGTAGAAACAACCCAATGTCCATCAACCGATGAAGAGATAAACAAAATGTGGCATACACATACAACAATATTATTCAGTCATAAAAGGAATACGGATTCAAGCTTCAGCATGAATGAACCTCAAAAACGTTATGCTAAGCAAAAGAAACCAGACACAGAGGGCCACATACTGCATGGCTCAATTTATATGACACGTCCAGCATAGGCATCGACAGAGACGGAAAATGAATTACTAGTGGCCAGGAGCAGGGTGGTGGTGGTGGTGGTGGCAGGGAGGAGGGGGAGGAAGAGTGACTGTTAATGGGTGTAGAGTTTCTTTTCTGGGGTGATGAAAATGCTCTTAAAGTAGATCGTGGTGGTGATTACACAAACTTTGTGAATAGACTAAAATCAACTGTATACTTATTAAATGGGTGAATTTTATGGCATCTGAATTATATTTCAATAAAAACAAAAAATATTAATGATTCTTAACTATTTTTGGATTATCAACCCCTTTGAGAAGCACAGACTCTCTTACAAGAAAAAAAGAAAACCCCATAGACATAAAACCTTGCATATGATTTCAGTACATTAAGATCCCCTAAAGCTCACAGAGAACCCCAGGTTAAAAACCTCTGACCTAAATCTGCAATATGAAAATAGTTTCAATCTCTTTACAAATGTTTAAATGATGTTTTTCATAAAAGGGACATGATTTCTTTAAATCATATAGTTTGTGATCAAATTAATTTTCTTAAGTCACTGGTTAAAGGTTATTTTGAGGATTACTTGAGGATAAATGAGATATTAACTTTTACCAAATAACACTAATGCCCACTGTTTTATTAGATAGATAGTGTGCCAGGTGTTGTGCTAAGTACTAACCATAAATTATCCAACTGAATTCCCCCAACAATCCAGTGAAGAAGGTTATTATTCCCACTTGATAAAAAGGGAAACCAAAGCTTAGCAAGATCAACTGGCTCAGACAGTCCCAGCTATGAAGAGGCAGGGCTGACTCTCACGGGTGCTGGAAGATTCCAAAGCCTACCTGATTAAATTTAAAATCAATAGGTGCCAGTGCATTTCTGTGGAAGAAAAATCTTGAAATATCTGCTAAAACCTTGTATGATTAACACTTACCGGAAATATTCCAGCCACAGTGCCCAAAAGTAAAAGGGCGTGGTGATGGGTCTGCGGCATCTCCGAAAGGCGGACGCACTGAACTATCAACTCCACATTGAACTTCTCCTCATCTAAAACATCTACAGTGGTGAGAAAGACAAAAACCCTAAGTGGCAGGTGCACTCATACTCAAAGCAGGTAATTTTTCTAACCTTTCCTTCCAAAAAGTACCTACCTTTGGGTATTTTGCCACCATCCGGAGAGAGTTTCTGGCAGATGTTGAGCAGACAACTAAGAATTAACTGTTTGGTGTATTCCATATTTCCCTGCTCTTGTGGCAAGGGCTCTAAACACCTTCAGGACACCCAAAAGAGAAATGATGGGAAATGTAAAAGTTATACAATTCGTGGCTGCATTAATGACCGTTGTCCAGAACTCATATTCAATAAGGAATAACTAAAATACTACCATTAAACATGAAGTCTAGAAATAAGATATAAGATTTCTAACTCTAATTTTCTCTTATATAGACAGGTGCTATGTCAAATTCCACTTCCTCTCTATTGCACTTTCTATTAACCTATTTGGAATCTTACAGGACAACCTTCAGAATTACTTTGCCTTTCACATGAAAGCACACTCTACAATTCATACTCAATTTATACACACACACACAAACCTATCTATATAAAATATATACATCTATATATGAAAATATAGATAGCAAATACTATATATACACACACATATTTATCTATATAAATTCAACATTATGTCTTGAAATACAAGTAATGATGCCCCAGGCATGTTACTGAAAAGTTCAGAGGAAAGTAGGCTGTAAAGTGAGTGCTCATTTACTACGTGACACAGGACACTAAGGTCAGTTTGGGGTACTGGCAATGGATACCTAAAACCAATCTTTTAATTTCACCTATAGTACTTGCTTTATTTTACAGACTATCTAAACAAGAGAAGAGTATGTTGAAAAGAGAATGTTAGATAAGATGGGCAAGAATCAGAGTCCTGTTCTCTCACAGATCAAAGCCAAGTGTCACTACCTTGATAGCAAGTTAAAAAGAGTTGGCACCAATATCTGAGGACTTTTGAGCTTCTTTTTGTGCTGCAGTAATTCCAGGATGAGAGTTACTCTTTGCCAGTAGGAACCTCCAACTTCCTGGACAGATTCTAGATCTTGGGATTTTCTGGAAAATGGAGAAGACAAAAAGTTGGAAAAGCAAACCCTATCATGTGCTAAGTAAAAACCACTGTGCCTGATTATAGCAAATTGATGGGTATCAAAAAGTTCCAAGGTTTCTTAACATTTCAAGTCAGGGGAACAACAGCAAGTGCTCAATGCATTTGTAGCTCTTACTTCTGCTGCATTTTTTGCCTTCTTTTTTGCTGAACTGTGCCCAAGGGTTTAGCTTTATCTGGTGGCTCCAGTTCTATTCTGACTTGTTCAGCATTAACGGAAATCTGAAATATTGAAGGAAGAACAGTTGATGATATAATCCATTGGGATAAAATTAGAGCAATATATGTTAGATTAAGACATACAATGAAAGCATTTACATCCATTTTTATGTCTTTATGCCACTCCATACCCCAGCCCAATCACCAAAGGCAAACATCACTGACAATTTCTTAAGCATCCTTTTAAAAACTTTCCGTATACCAACGGCTAAGTAAAGATTCTATTAAAAAACATAAATAGAAACATACTATACACATTGCTCTGTACCTTGGTATGTTTCACTTAGTGTACCTTGCATACCTATACTCTCACCAGTATATACTTAATTTATCATACGGTATATATTTATTGTCACAGACCATGAGAGTGTTTCATATAATCGAGTGTATTCTGGTAACCAAAGTAATTTTTGTAGTCAAAGTACAACTGGCCTGACATTTAAGGCCAATCTTATTTCTGGCTGATATGACATGTCTAGCAAGTATCTCATATGCTCCCTAGCCCACTGTCAAATAGAAGAGGGAGGAATTTGGGCTAACACTTTCCTTCTAATAATCCTTTAAATTCTTTAAGATGTTCTCATTTGGACTAGATCTTAGCTCAATTCAATTAGCACTTAATTAGTACTATATTTGAAGCCTCCTAAAAATGTGTTTTTTTGTGATTCCAATTTTTCCAACATTTCCTTAAAAATATTAAGACTAAAATCAGACATTAACCCCTAGGAAGGATTTATTCAATTAAGAGAGAAGAATTACTTACTGGACATACATCTGCACCCACCCAGCACTGGAGGCTACTACCTTGTTACAGACCTCTTGAAAAACCAGAATGAGAAGAAAGCAAAGTAGGGAAGGGTATAAACCAAAAGCAATAGCCAACATAAATTCATCTTCAGATTTTCATTTTAACTAAGCTCTCCTACTACCATGCACTTGCTTTCTATATAATTTGTCTTGGGAGTCTCAAGTTACAGCCCTGCACTTGTCGTGATTATGATATGGTATCACTTCTCCAGTCCAGAGTCACTCAATTTCACGTTCATCCCTTAGAGTGGAAAACTAGTAACGCAACATAGAATCATCCATACCAATGGTTTCCAAGTGCCGGATTAGATATATATATTCTAATCAGCTGGGCAGGAATAAGACATATACACACACGCACAAGAACAGATTCATAGTCCCAGAGATTCTTTAGATATGGGGTGGGATCCAGATATCTCCTTTTATAAGGTTCTAACATCATGACTAAATCTTTGGATTCTGATTAAGAGAACAACTATAAAAAACACTTTTGAGATAACCATGGAAATATGATTATGAACTAGGTATTAGATAATATTAAGGAATTATTAATTTTTTTTAATTCTAATGCCATTGTAGTCGTATCCACTTTTCAAAAGATGCACACTGAAGCACAGAGGGATGAAAGCGCATGACATTTTGAGATTTTCTTTAAAATGCTTCAGCAAAGAAAAAGAAGGAAAAAAGATTAAGTAAATATGTTAAAATTCTGAGAACTGCTGAATCTAGATACTAGAACTTTATATTATCCTATATTCAAAAAACAGAATAACCAGGTGGCTATTCTGATAATAGCTAGGTTTCAATATACATATAAAACCAACAAGCAGAATTTCAATTCCATTACAAGTCATTAAACAACTAAATTAAGTAGAATTAAATTAAAACATAACATTTAAACTAAAACAATTAAGTAGAATAATGTTACTCCGTTCAATATAGAGCCACTCACTCATTCCTATTCCTTGCATAAAGGAATAGGTAGATTCCATGTAATATGAGTAAGATCACACACACACATATTCCTACACACCCTATCTGGTTAAAATTATCAACAAATATTTCATAAAATAAAATAATGGTAAAGATTTAAAATTTTTATTTTATGCCTCTCTATGACTCACTTTTCCATGATTTTTGTTAATGGTAACATCTGACCTCTTACAAGCACTATAAAATGCAGGACTCTTAAACATGGTGTCCTTCGGAAGACACTAAACATTAATAAAAAATTACAGGAAGTTTGCAGCTTACCCCTTTAAAAACACTGCTGACAGTCTGAGCACAATGTGAGTTTTTACAGTTCACCAATAAATCAAACAACATTCTTAAAAGCTTCTGCTGAACTTTTTCATCTGATATGGCTGCAAAAAATGGTTTTGTAATCTAGAGGGGGTAGAAAAAAGGCAACTGAGTTCAGTGAACAAGTTTAAACTCCAGAAATAATTTTTATATCAACCTCTCTCAAAATATAAAATTGTTTCCCATTTAATTGTGTCGGTTAAAATGCAATTTGTTTTAATGACCCATGTACAACATTCAGTTTTCAAAAATGGGTCAAATACATCATATTCCTTTAAAACATGCCTAGTCCACCTGTAACTATCTTCTCCAAATAAATTAAAGCTTTTTTGTTTTTTTTTAACGCTGTTCCTGTTGCCTTCTACCTTTAAATGCTTGAACATGCTATGCCTTAGTTTCTGAAAGAAATCACTGACCTTTTCAAGGGCTGTGATCTGAATGGTTGGCATTCCTGCGTAAAGTTCCTTTGTTGCGTGCACAGCTTTTATAAATATATCTAGACTCTTTGGATCCTTATTTAAAAGGGAAGCTGAAAATTCATTATACTTTCCCAGAGCGAGATGCAAAACAATGGCCTCATCTTTCAGCACAGCTGTGGGCTCCTTCTGGATCTTTTCTAGCAGTTGTTCAGCCATAGGCAATAGCTGAGAAAGCACCATCTAAAGATCGAAAGACTTATAAGTAAATAGTTATGTATACTGATACATTTTTGCTCACCCTACAGAGACACTCAAAGCCTGTCAGAAGATGGGAGTTTAGCCTGGAGGAAAAAACCCAATGATGACAACTTCTTAGACATGGGGACAGCTATTAACTCACACTGAGGCACTCAGGTCCTTTCTGATAGTTCATGTGTAATGCTCAAAAGTTCTAAACCCTTCAGAGATGAGCAGAAAGATAATCTGTGAGCATCCCTCAAGACTTGAGAAAAGAAAACACAAACTAAAACTTTACAGAATAAAAATAAAGTTTAACATCCCCTAAAACACTGTATGTAGCCTTCAATGCTTCCAACTTGGTATAATTAATATTACTTCAAATTATGTATGTGAATCTTTAACTGCTAAACTAGGGGCCAGCAAATTATGGCTTGCAGGTCAATTCAACAGACCACCTGTTTTTGTAAATTTTATTTATTGAAACATAGCCATGCTCATTTGTTTACACCCTGTCTGTGGCTGCTTTCCTGACACAACTGCAGAGATGAGCAGCTGCAACAGAGACTGTGTGGGCCCGAAAGCATAAAATATTTCCTATCTGGTCTTTTACACAAGAAATTTGTCAATTCCTAATTTAAACTATACCAGGGACAACTAGGGGCTGAATGCAACCTGTTTGTTCCTACCAAAAAAATGTAATCAAATGGTCTTCAATCCATTTGACTCATTTTAGTTCTCTAAGCCCACAGTCAGTCCAGGACTGAAGCACACAGGCGTTTCTGGAACACTGGGATGACAGAACCTTTTTTTTGTTGGTCAGCACATGCCATCACATCAACGAGTGTTTCACAACTGCTTTCTTTTGTAACACAAGCTTCTTTGAGAACATAATGAAAGCTCTAATTATATATAACAAACGAGCAAATGATTTTGGAATTTTCACAGACTCGTGTCCAAATAGATTCCTTTGTATAGAATTTTCACTTGAAAAACAGAGATAAACCAACAGCTTCTTTTAGCAGTGCAGCCCCAGGAGACACAAGACTGTGAAGTTCATTTCAAATAAACTCAATGATTAGATGGGGACAACACATTTAATTTTAAAATTAAAAGAAACTCACCAGTACTTGTTTTTGTATCTTGTATCTTTTCTTCTCTACCTCAACTCATCTCCCTCTCAAATTAATATTACATTTATCTCTTCTGAGCGCACACATGCAACTCTTACAATGGACTTTCTCACGCACAAGCAGTTACAGCTATTCTTTAGTAACATCACAGGAATGTACGATCCACTTAAACGGCACATACCTCACCGTGGACTCCCTGAAGTACTTTCATCAAATCTTTTGCTATATAAGATGGGCAACTATATACACAACTAAGTAAGTTTTTCAAAGTTTCAGACAACTTCTGATGAGACTTCAGTTTCTTTTCTCTCTGTAGTTCCTTAAATAAAGTAGCCAAATCCTAAGATACCAAAAAGGAAATTGGATTAAAAAGGGTTAAGAAACTACAAAGGCTAAATATATTAATTAAGGAAGATTCTTACTTTTCCATTTCTCCTTAAAACCTTAATAAGAAAGGTTATTAAAAACACAGAGTTGGCTTACTATGAAAAGCTATACCCTAGTCCTTTATCCGATGAAAAGAGCAAAACTGAAATATGACATTGCTATCTTTTAAAAAGTAGGGGGAGACAGATGTACAGACAATGACCTATCAGTTCCTAAATTCAGTGACTTAGTCCTTCAAAACCCCTACACAGTGAAATGTCGAGAATAGAGAAAATTGCTCATGAGTACACACAGGCATGAACACACTCAATCTTCTTTGCTAACGAGCTTACCTGAATAACATAGGCAGCATCTGAAGTGATCTCCTCTGCTTTAGGAATCAAATGATCTATTATCAGATGAAAGGGGGACGCCACTCCACTGAGGGCCTGGAGACATTGAATGGCAGCCCTACGAACTTCTTTTATGGAGCTTCCCAGGTTAATGAGTAAAGATGTCACCACTAAAACCAAAGGGGAAAAAAAATTAAGAAACAATTTTAAAAACTGAAACAGTACAAAATTTACATAGTACCAAAGGTACTTGATAAAAAGATAAAAAGAATCCCTTCGAATTCAAACCCCGTCTCCGAAGACTGCTCACTGTTTGAATATTTAATATTCCAGAGAAAGGTTAGGCATGTTACCAGGTGCATTCTTTTGAAAATACACAAATAAGAGCAAACTATAAACCCTGTTCTACACCAACTACTCTCATATCTGAGCTGGACGTTGTACAATGGTGCAATCTCGGCTCACTGCAACCTCCGCCTCCCGGGTTCAAGCAATTCTCCTGCCTCAGCCTCTCGAGCAGCTGGGATTACAGGTGCACGCCACACGCCCGGCTAATTTTGGTATTGTTAGCAGAGACTGGGTTTCACCATGTTGGCCAGGCTGGTCTCCAACTACTGACCTCAAGTGATCCACCCACCTCGGCCTCCCAAAGTGCTGGGATAACAGACCCATCTCAACTCTTGGGACTGTTTTCCGTAAGTACACACATATCCAAATTCAATCATTCTTTTTTTTTTTTTTTTTTGAGATGGGAGTTTTGCTCTTGTTGCCCAGGCTGGAGCTTGTAACACAAGCTTCTTTGAGAACATAATGAAAGTTCTGCCTCCCAGGTTCAAGCGATTCTCCTGCCTCAGCCTCCTGAGTAGCTGGAGGTATGCGCCACCACATCCAGCTAATTTTGTATTTTTGGTAGAGATGGGGTTTCTCCATGTTGGTCAGGCTGGTCTAGAACTCCCAACCTCAGGTGATCCGCCCACCTCGGCTTCCCAAAGTGATGGGATTATAGGCGTGAGTCACCATGCCCGGCCAAATCATTCTTTTTAATTGTAAAGTATACTCCAATGTATTTTCCATATTTTAAAAACCGGTACCTTACTGGTAAAGTTTAAGTTGTTTCTATTCTTCTGTCATCAAAACAATGCTGCCACAAACACCCCTGTGCATACAGCCTTGTACAAGCGTGCACAGAAAATCACCCACCTGTGCATTGTTCTCTGCAAACACTTGGTCCCAGACTGCTGTGTTTTGATTTTACTTTTTGATAGAGAAATGTTAGAGTCAAATTTTTCTTCTACTTTTTTCTGTTGCTTAAAAAGGCCCTCCCCACTCTGTGTGAATTTAGAAAGTATCTATCTCTATATTTAGAGAGAGAGATCATATGTACCTCATGCTTTCGTCGAATGCCAGAGCTAAGTTTATATTAAATCTTTAGTTCACATGAAATTTTTATCTAAGGAATGAGGTTGCAGTCAAACTTTCTAATGTTTCCAAATGGATAGTCAGATGTCCCATTTAACAATCCACATAACCATCTCACAGATCTTTGATTTTGGCTTTATTATATTCATACATTCCATAAGTATTTGAAACTTGTCTATTTCTGCCAGCTAGTACTTCTAGAATCACGTTCAACGAGAGTGATGATTTTAACAGGAATGCCTTTGTTTTCCCAATTATGAAGTGAAAATGCTAACTTTTAATTTGAGGAATTTTTTGATCATGTTACTCCTATTTTGCTGTCAATTAGGAATAATTACTATTTTTGGCTAATGCCTTTTCAAATATTTGCACATTTTATGGGTTTTGTCCTTCACTGACATAGTCAATTATATATTAACATAGTTCCTTTTACTGAACCAATTTTATGTTCTGGGCATGAACTCTAACTACGTAAATGATTTTTATAAATATGCTGCTAAAGCCTATTTGCAAATATTTTATTTAGGATTTTTACATAACATTATTCAAAGCAACATGGCCTATATAGTCTTTTGTCTGTAGGCTTTCTGAATTTTCAATGTTATGCTAGTTTTAAACGAAGAATCTGGAAGCCTCCCTTCTCTATGCCCTGCCCAGTTCAACAACATTGAAAAAATCTGCTTCAAAGATCTGGTAAGAATGCATCTGTGAGACCAACTGCGCTAGGGTTTTTAAAAAGATGTCTTTGGAACAAAGAGGTACCTAAGTTCCTTTTACAGTAATTAGTTATTTAAGCTTTATTTCATATCTACTGCAGCAAACTACAGTCATTTATATTTTGCTAGAAATTATCAATTATACTTTCCATTTCTGAAATACTAAGATAAAGCTTGACAAGCTTTCAAACCTGCCTAAGAAGTCCATATAGGCTGAGCAATGTTGATCCAGAAATCCAAAATCTCAAATTTTCAGAGCACCAATATGACATACGACAATATGAAAATTCCACACCTGATCTCGTGACGGGCTGCAGTGAAAATGCAGGCATACAACTGTTTATTCAGCGTCCCCACAGAAAAAAAGACAGAGCCAGCCCCCTGCAGTTGCAATATATCTTTTTCACAAAACCGAAATTCTTCCACACAAGCATGCCCACAAACGATAGTAAAATGGGTCCATGTACCCAAACTTTGTTTCAAGCACAAATTAAAAATATTGTATAAAACTGGATGGGCAGAGGCTCATGCCTATAATCCCAGCACTTTGGAAGGCTGAGGCAGGAGGATCACTTGAGGCCAGGAGTTCAAGACTAGTCTGGGCAACATCACCAAGACTCCGTCTCCACAAAAAATTTAACAAGAAAATTAGTAAGGCATGGTGGCGCAGGCCTATAGTCCTAGCTATGAGGGAGGCTGAGATGGGAGGATGACTTGAGCCGAGGAGTTCAAGGCTGCAATTAAAAATTGAAACAGGGCTGGGTATGGTGCCTCACACCTATAATCCCAGCACCTGGGAGGCCACGGCAGGTGGATCACTTGAGCTCAGGAGCTCAGCCTAGGCAATATAGCGAAACCCTGTCTCTACCAAAAATATAAAAACTTAGCTGGGCATGGTGGCACGTGGTGGCACGTGTACTTGCGAGGCTAAGGTAGGAGGACCGCTTGGGCCTGGGTGGAGGGGGTGGGGAGAGGTTGCAATGAGCTGAGATTGCACCACTGCACTACACCCTGGGCAACAAAGTGAGACGCTGTCTCCTAAAATAAAATTTTAAAAATTGTATAAAATTACCTTCAGGCTATGTGCAAAAGGTGTATATAAAACATAAATGTATTGTGTTCAGACCCAGGTCCCAATGCCAAAATATTACATTATGTAGATGCAAATATTCTAAAATCTGAAAAAATCTGAAGTCCCAAACACTTTTGGTCCCAAGCACGTTGGATAAGACACTCAACCTGTATCATCTATGAAAGCTGGAAATACTTTCTGGTTTTCACATGGTTAATTTACAAAACAAAGTCAAGGACAAATAGCTGGAACGTTTAATTCACACAAGGGGCAGGCTTGGGCCAAAATATCTATTTGGTAATATTCCCTGAAGAGTGAAGGACAGCTTCTACAATATCCAAATTCAAGGACAAATTCAAAGTACCAACTACCAAAGTTATCATGTTCAAGTAAGATACTAGAACCCAACAAAAATTATAGCCACTTACTTAAATGATCAGCTTATAGAATTTTTGTTCTTTCATTTAAAAGTCTATGTGATTTCATTCTTTCAACTACTTTTATCTAGATCTACACTAGCATGTTTTTATGTAAAAATAAAAAATACTTGAGTTTGCTTTTAAACATAAAAATAGATTTAATACATTGATTTGATATAAAAAATAAATGAAAGGCAGTCCCCATCTTGAGGCAGAGATTTAAAAATAAATATGCATTCATTCACTCCAACAAAAGTAACAGGATAGGCAAGGGTTAAAAATAAAAGAAACAAGTTTTCTTCTGCTTAGCAGCTCACTTCAAGGACAGCTATAAGACAACGGTGTCTGAAAAGCCAAGGCCAAAGGAATGGGCTCCAGACACCCCCCGCACCCCCCTAGAGCAAGGTCGAAGGAAAAAAAAAAAAGAGAAAGACAAATTCCTTTACTGTTACTCCTTTCCCTGGCCTCCGAAGCATGACTGTTTTACAAATGTCTGTGTTTAGCCAGTTCTTGTTTTTCTTTCGCTGCAGCTACAAGGCCACCAGCTATGCAAGGCCCCCAGTTATGCACTGTATGATTAACGGCCTTTGTTTTGCCTTTGTAAGCCTGCTTATAAAAGGCCCCACTCCGTCTTTGTTCGAGGCTCGGCTTTTTGGATGTGAATCCGCTAAGCTGGTGCGTATCCTAAAATAAATTCTTCCTATTCTCCCATATCTGTCTCTCTGTTCCTCAGTTTACTGCAACAATCTCACAAATGACAGGAGGAATAGATTTGTATTGGCTGGGCGCAGTGGCTCATGCCTGTCATTCCAGAACTTTGGGAGGCCAAGGCGGGTGGATCACCTGAGGTCAGGAGTTCAAGACAAGCCTGGCCACCACGGTGAAACCCCGTCTCTACTAAAAATATAAAAATTAGCCAGGTGTGGTGGTGCGTGCCTGTAATCCCAGATACTCGGGAGGGTGGGGCAAGAGAATTGCTTGAACCTGGGAGGGGGAGGTTGCAGTGAGCCAAGATCACGACACTGCACTCCAGCCTAGGCAACAAAGTGAGACTATGTCTCTTTAAAAAAAAAAAAAAAAAAAAAGAATAGATTGTATTTATTCATTTAACAAAGACTTGCGATGTGCAAGACTTTTTATAATACATACCTGCATAGAAAATAATAAATGGTGGTTAGATTACCAAGCTACTGACAAAAACTCATAATATTGTGTTATATTACTATGTCATATTGTATGATTATAATATCATATAACATTGTATTGCCTTTTACTTCTGAACACAAAAATTTAGTAATATAAACACATTTATGTATCATGAATGTTATATTACATGATATCATGTTTTACTTATGAACACTACATTTTTCTAAATATATTAAAACAGATGCCAACCAATAATTCCTAGACTCTTCACAGATAAGGTGGGGCTAGAAGCTCACTGCAGCCCTAAAGTGGAGAGCCCGCAGGGCATGCGCAATAAGCGGCCTTCCACTTGAGGCGACTTGAGTGTCTGGTCTTTGAACTTCCAAGTAGAACAAGGTGCATCTCTCCTGTGTTCAGGAGTACTGCAACCGGTGTACACAGCATAAATGCAAAGTACGTCAGGCAGGCAGGAGGAGATGGATGACAGGGCAGCAGTGGGAGGCAGGCAGCCTGTCTAGCAGCAACACCAGTGGAAAAGTGAAGTTCTTCCATCTTGCTACTTATAGTCAAAATGACATATATTACTCAGAGGCCACTGTCAAAGGACAGTAAACATTTAATACTGAACTGGAAAACTGAAATAGTTATCTCTAAATAAAATATACATACCTTTTTGAAAACCCACAAGTTTAGGAGAAAATAACTATTTGAATAAATTGCTATCTCCGTACAATGGAATACTCTGCAGGCAGTTATAAAAAGATAAATTTTTCCATTTATTAATATGGAAAGATGTCCCTAACATATTAATTGAAAAATTAAAGTTAAAAAATGTATAGGGAGTTGTTCTTATCCAAATATAACTAGAAAAACCTTAACAGTAAACTCACCTAAAATAAAGATCGAAATTTTGTAAGTCAATAAAAAAATTACTTTTATGGAATTTTATTTTAGAAATAAAACTTGAAATTACATATCTACATTACTTTAGATGCAACAAAATTTGGTTATAAATGTAATTATGTGCTCTTTCAAAGAACTAATAAAAAATAAACACTGAGAAATTGTTCAGGGAAAAGTATACGATCATCTACCTTGCTTTCACAGAACATTTACAAAGAGTAATTTTGGAATTAAAAAAAAAAAAAACAACCAAGGACATCTTCAAATTTCCTCAGGGCCACTCTTATGCCTCTGATATTAATAACATTCCAGTTTGAAGCATCAATCACGTCATTATTCTAATCAACTTTTTCATCTTCAACCATTCTTCTTTGATCTAATTTTGCCACATCCCCTCATGCCAATAGCTCTGAGTCAACCCACTTTTCAATATCGCAGTCATTGTTTCATGAAATTCTGCATCTTATGCAAAATTTGCAATTCCACGTTATAAAAAAACTTAACTTTCAGATAGATATTTCATTAGAGAATGCCGAACCTGAATAAGATTTTTGCCTGATAAGAGATAAATGCAGGAGGGTTTTGTTTTTATTAGTTCATTATTAAATTGTATTATGATGATCTGACTTCCATATCTAACCCTACTGCTGCTACAGCTCAGAAAATGAATAGCTGATTATTAAGAACTCATATAATCACCTGCCATTTCTATTGTTAAACTTTTCTGTTTGGTGAGATTTTGCAAGTGACACTAATAACTTAAAAGCAACACTTAGAAGTAACCAGAAATATGTATAGATGTACAATTTTTTTTTGTTGTTTTTTTGAGATAGGGTCTCGCACTGTTGCTTAGTTTGGAGTATGGTGGTGCAATCACAGCTCACTGCAGCCTTGACCTCCCAGGCACAAGCTATCCTCCTACCTCAGGCACCTGAGTAGCTGGGACTACAGGCGCGCACCATCACGCCCACCTAATTTTTGTATTTTTTGTAGAGGCAGGATCTCATCATGTTGTCCAAGCTGGTCTTGAACTCCTGGCCTCAAGTGATCCTCCTGCCTTAGCCTCCCAAAGTGCTGAGACTATAGGCGTGAGCCACCTTGCCTGGGCTTTATAGATTTTTTTTTTTCGAGATGGAATCTCGCTCTGTCGCCAAGCTGGAGTGCAGTGGCATGATCTCAGCTCACTGCAACCTCCGATTCCCTGGTTCAAGCAATTCTCCTGCCTCAGCCTCCTGAGTATGGGATTACGGGCATGTGCTACCATGTCCAGCTAATTTTTGTATTTTTAGTACAGACAGGGCTTCACCATGTTGGCCAGGATGGTCTCGATCTCCTGATCTCATGATCCACCTGCCTCGGCCTCCCAAAGTGCTGGGATTACAGACATGAGCCACTACGCCCACTCTCTGCTACTTTTTAAGTTATAATTTTCCAAACTACATAAACCATATAAAGCAAGCATGAACAGTTGGTCATGACAAAACGTAACAATGCTACTTTTAATACCTGGAGAAGATATGGATGCCAGTTGGTGTTTACACTGTGTCTTCTGAGAAGAGAGCACTGCAGAGCCCACATAAAGAGCTTGAGTCTGCAGCACTGTTTTCACATTGCAGTTAAGTGGATTTGAAAGGCTAGAACCATAGGTCCATAAAACAGAACAGAACTTGAATAACTGAAAAACATCTTCTAGATGTACCTAATCACAAAAAAAAGAGCAAACTTTTAATTCGTACTCAAATAAGTTGGTTCCAAATCCTCTTTCACTAGTGTACAATTATAAAGAAACAAATAATTTAAGGCAATGTTTTGCTTTGTCTAATCATTTCAAATTATTCTATACTCTATGTTTTAATGAACTGGGAAGATGTCAATGAAGAGTGATATTCAGAAGCTTCACTATAACTTTGCACTTGAAAACACTGAGAACCAAGACAAGAGCAGTATCTGGGATGCCTAATTAAGAAAATGCTTCAACAATGTGGTTAGCAATGTCAACTCAATGTCAAATGCTGTACAGAGAACAAGTTAGGCAAGAACAGGAACTGACCACTGGGCCTGGCAACATGGAGGTCACTGGTGCTGGGGATGAAATTTCCTGAGTAACTTCACATCTGCTAAATAACCTCTCGAACATCAGTATTCACATTTCTAAATGGTATTAACCAATCAAAAAGACTGGGCTGTTGTTATTTTTAAATATAGTAATGGGCTTAACATACTAGTAGGAGTGTAGAAATGTTAGTTTCTATTCAACCTACCGATTAGTATCGTGATCGTACTCTTTCACAGGGCCTGTGCTTACTATTATATACTCTTCACTGTTTAGAAGTCTACTTTCATTTACATTATAAACTGACATAACCAAAATAACCCACAATATTTTTTTTTTTGAGACAGAGTCTTACTCTGTCGCCCAGGCTAGAGTGCGGTGGTGTGATCTCGGTTCACTGCAAGCTCTGCCTCCCCGGGTTCAAGCGAATTCTCCTGCTTCTGCCTTCCAAGTAGCTGGGATTATAGACCCCGCCACCACGCCCAGCTAATTTTTGTATTTTTAGTAGAAATGGGGTTTCATCATGTTGGCCAGGCTAGTCTCGAACTCCTGACCTCAAGTGATCCACTCGCCTCGGCCTCCCAAAGTGCTGGGATTACAGGAATGAGCCACTGCACTCAGCCAGCCATATCTTCTTTACGGGTAGAGTACGCCCGAAAAGGATGAGCCTTGTACCTTTATGAAAAGTTTCATCAGAACTCTGAAATGAACAGCATCGGCACCATTGAGCATCATCTCAAACAGCCCAATGAGCAAGTGCAGATAGTCCCTGCTGTCTTCTTTCAGTTGTTCAGGATTCCACCATATGTCACCTACATGGACATGGAAAGAGAAATGATGCACCGCCCTGCATGCCGGCAGCTTTTTATTCAAGACAAGCAGTCACTGTGGAGTCAATCATTCAGTTTTGCAGAGTATCACATTTAAAAGATTCACAGCTTGTATCTTACCTTTAGGAAAAGATTTAGGCGCTTTCAGTGCATAAATAAAATTTTTCAGGGAAAATACAAGAAAAACCGAGTCCTCCACAGCCATCCTCTGAGTGCTGTTGAGCTCTTCTACATAATGTGCCCACAGCTCCGCTGGTATCCCTCTGTCTAACATCAGTTCAATGTGCCATTCTGAGGGGATTTCCTGAAATGTTAAAGGAAACAAAAACTAGTACAAACTAAGGGTTCTGAACATGGGTTAATGAATTCCTCTGCAAAATATGCAAAAGTTTTGTTTATGTGTGTATTTTGGTGGGGAAAGGATTAATAGACCTGCTTTCATCAGATTTTTAAAGAGGTCTAACTATCACCATTCACAAGGAAAGACAAAGTTAAATTTTATCTATGTCTTACCTTAAAACGTTAAACAAACTTTACTTATATAAACTGTTTATCCAATAAAGGGTAGGAATAAATAGGCATATTTCTTTTTTTTTTTTTTTTTTTGAGACGGGGTCTGGCTCTGTTTGTTGCCCAGGCTAGAGTGCAGTGGCACAATCTCAGCTCACTGCAACCTCCGCTTCCCAGGTTCAAGCGATTCTCCTGCTTCAGCCTCCCGAGTAGGTAGGATTACAGGCATCCGCTATCATGCCTGGCTAATTTTTGTATCTTTAGTAGAGATGAGGTTTCACCATGTTGGCCAGGTTGTTCTCGAACTCCTGTCCTCAAGTGATCCACCCGCCTCAGCGTCCCAAAGTGCTGGGATTACAGGCGTGAGCTACCGTGCCTGGCCAAAATAGGCCTATTTAAAAACAGGAAGATAAAGAGTTGGATTGCCAAGACATAGTTAAAGGGACTTCTTTCATTTCACTGTTTTACCACTCATCTGAATAAGGTAAACACAGTAAAATTTCCAAACCTGCAGATGATTTTAAACAAGTAGCAAAATGTCAGGTGTTTAGAAATTATACTGTAAATGCCGAAAGAATGCAGAAAAACAGGTGTAAGAAAATGACAAATGTGACTCTGTACAACCAGAGCAGAGTAATAACTTAGCAGGAAAATAATCCAAAGCCAGATTTACAATGCAACGTCTCCAGTGAGGGATTTGATTAACTCAATGTGCTGCTACAGGCAAAAATATGCTCATGACATCGAGAAAGGGTATTAAAACTAAAGCAATATAAAATAACCTGTTATCTACACATGTATAATAAAACAATCAATTTGTCCATACTTTTAACACTGAGAACCAGTACAGTTCAGGTCATCACACTTCACAAAAGACACTAAGAAATTAGAAGTTAAGAACGGACTATCTGGGCTATTTTTCAAAATATGAAGATTTCACTCTTTTTAAAGTTTACAAATTTTAGCTAACAATGGCCATGATCAGAACTTATAAAATCCTGGGGGTATATGTAAATGTGAAAAAGATATAATTCATTTAGTAAATCCTATAATGAGAAGCCCTCTAAAATTTGGAGGACAAATAAAAACAAAATACTTACATATAGCAGATATTGGGAAAAAAAAACAGTCTTGCTACCTCAAAATGTGTCATGAAGTAAAAATATAAACAGCTGAAACATGTCCCTCAGTAATACTATCAAAGACAGTAGTAGGCTGGAGGGATACACATCTATGTAATATTAAAATTGTTTAAAGCCTAAAAGATCTATTTTTAGTAAACAATTGAATGAAATAGTATTTTGTTCAAGCACTAACACACCAAGTGAATTTCTTCATCACTAGAGGTAGTTAGGTGTAGCTTGGGTAATTATCCAATAAAGACAATAAAAGAGAGGAGAGTCAGGCATCAGATACAAAATATTGCAACCCTGAAATTTTATAATTCAACTAAACTTTCTGCAAAAGCAAGGGAGTGCCTAGTTGACTATCTCACTTCTACCCAAGACTGCTTCACATTTCATCCAGCCAGTATCCACAGACTCAACATCTCGCCTCTGATTTCCAGTTTAGCTGTGACTTATGGGCCAGGCTGTTGCTTTATTCAACATTCCACTTTTTGGAGATTCTGCTTTCCTTACCACTGCAGTAATGACACTTTCAAGCTTCTTTATTTTTTTCTGCAACAAACTGAAGACTCTTATCGCAAATGGAAAGTGGGTTTCTTTTAAAGATGAACAACAAGAGACGAGCACAGACATGACCACGTGAAACGTTACTTTCTGCTTCTGGTTAACGGACTCCTCCTCACCCAGGCTTATTAAATCCTCCACCTTGAAAAATAAACACACTCTATCACTAGTTGCTCCTGACTTTCATAAAACAATTTTTCCAACTCAGGTCTATCTAGGTATTGTGTTTTACATTTAAAGTGAGATGACAAATAGAAAGCCTTTATAAAGTACTAAGCACTGATTTCTAAGTAATTACAAGAATAATGTCAGAAATTGTAATGAACATAATTGCACTTGCCAACTGGTTAATGTATTTAAATCACACATCTAATACCTTTACAAAGGTTTATTTACTAAGGCAAAGATAATTCTCTCCTCTTTGGGATTATATTTTGCTATTTTAACAACAAAAATACTAATATTTTAAATGGGAATGAGAGAAAATGATGGTAAAAGGATATATTCTTATGGGTGTGATATGGATCCACACTGAACAAATATATAAAATGTTAAAGATTTCAAACATTGCACAGAATTTATTAAACAATACTGTAATGTTTAAAGTAAAACCAAGTACTCAAGAATGAAAAAAAAATTTTTTTTGAAGAAAAATCTAGTAAAGCAAAAGCTGCGAATTTAATAAGAGTATGAGAAAGAAATCCAGGGGTTGGACTTTCACGGCATACTTACCATCTTTAACATTAAAGAAGGATCTCCTAAATTTATATTATCAGCTAACAACTCAATCATCTTCTGATTTGCTACACCAGTTAGTTTTCCTGGCTTTGTGCTTTTAATCACATTTTCAAGAGCTGTAAAGTAAAATTGAATGCAGAGAGCTTTTATGTCACCAACATCAAAGAATCATATGAAGAATTCAGGCAAACAGTTTACTATTTTTTATGTAAGGCTTGCTTTTTATTTTTCCTTATATCCAATTCTGAATTTGTCTATCTATGAATTGGCTTCCTTCTCACTGTATACTTTTTATCTTGGCCAAACTTTTAAAAGACCTTACTGGCATATAACATGACAAACAATAAATTTTAAATTTTCTTTGTTTTCTTTTGTACTATTTGTTTACTTTTTCTAAAAAATAACTAAATTTTTTACCTTCTTCCCAGCCTCTTAATAGAGGGTGCAGAGAGCAGATTCTTGATTTTGATAAATATATAGCAATTTTCATCTCAGCAGATTCCATGTCATCATTATTGATAACCATAAATGGCAGCAAACATACAACCACCTGATTTGACAACCGATCATTTTCACTTAGTATCTCTTCTTTAATTAATATGTCAGTTGCTATCTTAAGTACCTTGTACCTAAAAGACATGCAAGCACATTTGGTTGAAAGACACATTGGAAGGCTTCAACTGGGCAAAAATTCATCATTACATTACTCCAGCTTAACTGACAACATCCTGGTCTCCTGACCAAAACTATTATTCAGACACACTAAGACACCACTTAAAATCCATGTCAATAATAGAGTTATCTGTGACAATATATTTATTTATTTATTTCTTGTACAAGCACTGGGATTATAGGCATGAGCCACTGTGCCTGGCCAACAATACTTTTAATCTGCTCATCCTGTCTAATCTTAAAAAAAATAATAATTTTTCTTAGAGAAATCACTAGAGGTTAACTATAACATAAGACATATCACACTAGATGTCTCAACTCTACTGGAAATCAGATTCACTCAGGCATTCAAAGAAGATGAACCAAGCACATCCTACATGATAGATATCTACCCATATGATAGACACAAAAACACGTAAGACACACTGTCATCCTCTATGGAGCTTACTTACTTTTTCTTGCAAAAAGCTTTGGTGCCAAAAATGAAATAAACAGAGCTCATTAAAAACTTACCACAGATGGTATCATGTGTCTCTGAACTTATTTTTTAATTTGTTTAATATATTCGTATGTTTTTAATTATAAAGTAAAAATTATATAAAGTAGAAAATTAGAAAGTCCTTCCCATCTTACTTCCCAGAATTCAGTATCATCCATTATGTATTTCCTTTTGCATTTTTTTAAGAGAAATTCCAAACACAGAGAATAGTATAATGAACACACACAAACACAAATTAATTAACTGTATAATGAAAAAAAGTATTACATTAAAATCTGTTCTACTACCACAACGAAGGGGTCATGTAATCAAAGCCTTAAAAAAAAAAGAATAGAAAGAATTCGATATAAAAACTTCATCAATTCAAAATAGTATGAGGAGAAATGAATACATACCATTCTCTATTCTTTGAAAGTTCCGCTCTTTGAAAGAGATTCAGAAGATTTGAAATCGTCACTTCTGCAGTGAAATGTTCTTTGAAAATCTAAAGGGAAAAAATATCCATGAGTAGATTTGTACTTGCTTCAAACATACATGGTGCTTTTTAAATGCAAATTTTAAAAAGAATGAATTATAAGGAATTTCTCCCAGGAATCCTAGTACAACTTAAAAGTTTTAAGACGTATTTCTTAAAAGTGGCATTCATAAGACAATGGTCCCAAGGTATTTGCTATTGATAAAAATATGTTAAAAGCAATATAAAAATTCACAAAACATTTCCTGTTTGAACTTCCATATATATTTAATATATTACATTGTGAATTCCTATGAGTTTCTCCTAACCAGACTTAAGTCTGTGCTCTCCAGAGAACAAATTTCCCATGGAAAAATAATTTCCAAAAATACTCTAGTCTCCAGCAGAGAATCATGTGAGAAGGGCAAGAAAATTTACAAAATTGTATATCTCAACAAATGACAAATTCACTCACCTCAAAAGCACTTACAGCTGACAAAACAACATCTATATTATCATCATCTAACCGGGCTAAAACAGCTTCTTTTATGAAAGACTCATCTACACCCTCCTGAGCAATAAAAGAAAAAAAATTAATTTAGCTGTTGCTAAAAATCTCTTAAGGCTTTGCACTAGAAAGGAAGTATGGTTTTGTGAAAAACACTCCAGAATAACAGTCTAACACAGGCTCTGCTCTGGATGAGGACTGAAACACACTAGAACTAGGTAATCGCTAAGGGCCTTTCGAGATTAATAATTGTTTGGTACAATTTTTTTTCAAGTTTTCGGTGAAAATACAGTAAATATAGTAAATATGGTATACTCCAAATATAGTTTTTGTAATTAAGGAGTTCATCTTATTAAAGTGAGAGCCCAGATATTGACAGGGTATAGACTAAAGAATAAGAATGTCTAATTTAAGTCCGAACTCTACCACTTACTAGCTGTGTGACTTTAGTCAAGTCACTTAACCTTTCTGGATCTCACTAATCCCACCTTTAAACAGGTTTGTTAATAATAATACCTACCTCCAAGGGTTGTTAGAAGATTAAAAAATACATGTCAGTCTGTAGCAGAGTGCTTTACACATAAGTACTGTTAGAAGTTAGCTAGTATTATCTAAATTTTTACAAGGATAAGGACATGTACTACAAGGCCAGTCTGCCAAAAATAGAGATCATTTTTCAAACATAACGAATAAAAGAAAACAATGTCTATTCATTCACAGAGAAAAAAAATAAGCCTGCTAACCAACCTGAATATATCCCTATCAGTATGTGGCAGGCAACTAAATAATATAAAAAACATAGGTCACTCTGTTGGGAGAAAAATGAAAATTCATAGAATTCACAAAGATTAAGTTATTCAGGCACAGTGGTGCATGTCTATAATCCCAGCTACTCTGGAGGCTGAGGTGGGAGGACTGCTTAAGCCCAGGAGTTTGAGGCCAGCCTCGATAACATAGCAAGACCCTATCACTTAAAAAAAAAATCCTCAAGAGCTAATAAGCAGCCATATATCTGAACCTGGAGTTTAGAATAAAACCTATGTCCTGTCATGGATGGAGAAAAGAAAATGAAACACGGTATGCAAACGAAGACATCAACTGCAATTACAATACTCAAGCCTGTAAACTGAATGTATGCAGCTAACCAAACCCAGAGAACGGGAGAGAAAGGCAGTAAGAGTAAAAGAAGGAAGGATGAGAACAACTTCAGAAACAGAAGATTCCAGGACTCCCCCTTTATTCCAGAAGAATTTCTTATCACTAAAATCCTCCTATCACAACAAAGACTATTATTCAATGAAATTATTTAACACATCAACAAAATAAACCTATTGGCAGTTTATAAAAGCAGAATTCATGCCAGATCAAATAAAGCAACATTTCTTAAACCTGAATATTACATCAGCCACTTTTAAAGAAACTTTCTCAAAGATCTAAATGTTGTTTAAATTGTTTATTGTTTACATATCAACTTAAAATTAAGTATAACTTCTTAAAATATAGGTAACATAAAACAAAAATTTTTTTTAATCTACAAGAGAAATACTAAAAACTCTATAAAACCAATACAATTCAAATGAAGATGACTTTAGTGTGATTAACTATAATTAGCTGAAATTAAATTTTACTGATCATATGATTTTACTTGTAATACGAACCTGCCTATAATTGCCGTGACACAAGTTCGAGAGTTCGGCATGTTTACACTGCCATGTGCTACATGGAAACTAAACTCTGTTACCACTTTACTCTATTCCAGAAATTTCTCAAATATGCAAATCATGGTGCATAATTTTAGACATGACACAGATGGAGCATTCCTATTTTAATTACAGTAACTGTAGTAAAATGTATATACAATTAGCACCTCACACCCACAATCTGAAGGCTATGTAAAAAAATAATGAGTCCATCTGAAATAAAGAAAAATTTTGAGAAAACAATACTACTATCAGTGGCAATTTATAATTTAGCAAAAATTGTAAAAGGACTGCTTGAATGACTAAAGTTTGGAAACTACTATTCTATTTGTATTACTACCAAGTCTTCATACCAATGCCTTTTGGTATAAATGCAAATTAGACCAAATTATTTACAAATAAAGTCAGCCTCAATACATATTTGAAGCCACTTACATTTTAAACACAAATGAAACTGCAGGTACCCAAATCACGGAACAGTGTTCAAAAGTTATCATCCAAATGTCCCAAAATACGCCTTCATCTAAAATTAAGACTATCAAAATCAAATTTCTTGGCTTTTCTTTAAACAGGGTCTTGCCCTGTCACCCAGGGTGGAGAGCAGTGGCATGATCGTGGCTTACTGCAGCCTCAACCTCACGCCCAAGAGATCCTCCTACCTCAGCCTCTCAAGTAGCTGCGACCACAAGCGTGTGCCACCAAACTTGGCTAATTTTTTATTTTTTTTATTTTCCTATAGAGAAGGGGGTATCCCTTTGTTGCCCAGGTTGGTCTCAAACGTTTGGGCTCAAGTGATCCTTCTCACAGAGTGTTGGGATTATAGGCATGAGCTGCTGTGACCAGCCCAAAATCAAATTTCAAAACTAAAAAAATTCTCAGATAATTAATGAACCTATGTGAATTAATCTACAAACTCTAGTTTGAAAAACACTAAAGATAAACAAATAACCGTCAATGTGGAAACATAAAAGCAGTTATTAGGTTATTGTTAAAATGGGGACTATTGGCACACACAGTCCTAAATACTAGTCTGAAGTAAGTACTCTCATGAGGTTTATTCAGCTCATCTGTACAATTATCCACTATCAATTCTAGGTAGTAACTCCAATTTCTTATTCAGAACTACACGGCTCATCATTAAGAAAAAAAAAAAAAAAGTCATACACAAAAGCAATCTGAAACAAACCTTTGATGTTTTCATGATCTTTTTCAAATGATTAATGGCCAGAAGTCTCACAGGAGCAAGTGGATGATTCAGGCTGAGCATCAAAGAAGTATCAGAATCTTCTAAAAACTACAGGGTTCAACGTAATTATCAAATTATTTCACTTAATCTGAACAGTCTACGATCAAGAATAAAACCCAAAGAAAATCACCCCAAACTGTCCAACGTTTTCAGTAACAACCATCTAACTACAGAAAACAAACAAAAAAACGCAAAATCTTTGTTTCTAGAACATTATTATATGAGTTGCAACAGATGAAAAAAATTTGTATTGTTAGTAGTATGATTTCACATATACTTGTGTCTATGTGTAGGTTTAATTTGGTGAAGTAATTCTACAAAGTAATTTTGTATTTTGTATGCATATCCGATTCCAAAGTAAAGAGTACTTAAGATAAATCACTGTTTCAGCACCTCCCAGAAAACAGAATGCAATTCATCTACATGCTATAACAAATAGTGACACTCAAATTAGTGACACCTTAGTTCACCTATGCAATTAGACAAAAAAGGAAGTCTACCCATCAACCTGATTCGGAAATGCAACACCATCAAAGATGAAAGTCTAATTATGGAAGAGAAATACTAAAACAATCATATTTCTCTTCATAATTATCTGTTTTTAAGGCTAATTAAAGAACTTCTGCTTAAATGTCTAACTTCCAGTATAACGCTTTAGGCTTGAACCACCAGAAAATTTCTCAAGTTTTAATGTGATCATGAAATAGAACCCATCTCCCCCTTGCTAATCAATACTATAAATAGCCATTTGTGGCTGGTATACCGGAACGCATAGACCTAGCTGAAAGACAGAGGATGCCAGAAACCTACGAGGCCGTCCTCTGATGATTCTTAATGAATATCCCGTACAAAATTCTCCAACAATACTTTTCCTGAAATAAGTATCACGTTCATGGTTATGTACAAATTATTGTACCTTTCTCCAATTATTCTATTCCTGCCTCAGAGCCATACTTCAGGCAACTAGGCAAACTATATAAGGTCATCTCTGTAAAATTTTCCACCCCATGGAAAAAACTGGCAAATTTCCTTCTGGATCTCTTCACATAACCATACAAATATATCCCAAATTGTCGTAATTCCCTTGGAGAACAACATACCTGATACTTTCCTCCACTTGTTGAAAGAGAAACAAACCGATGAAAAAGCTCTTGTTTCTTCAGATCTGCAATTTCCTTTAAGTGCTCCTCTAATACAACATCTAACGTTCTGGGGTATCTGGGAAGCAATTAAAGAGTGAATTCATTACTCTTAATAAATTTATTAATCTCATACACCATACACATATAATGGAAAGACATAAAATTTTAAAAATTACTGAGACTATGACTTGAATTTTAACAAATGTTGTATGTAAAACCAAATGATATTGGTCATATTTGTTACTATAACTACTCCAATAACAAAACAGTCTCTCTATAAAAAATTATACTCTCCATAGCCCCCACACAGTCACTATTTCCTCTTATATTTCAAATAGTTTTAATTCCGATACTCGACCCTTCTTGAAGCAAAAATTTAAAAAAGGACAATCTCTGTACAATTCAGTATATTAAGATGTGACTTGTGAATCATATCTTTATAGAACAGGAAGTACTTTAGAAGAGCATAAACATACACGCATGACTTACTTGCTTTCTAAAAGCCTAATGAGTGGAAGAAATTGTTCATTAAGCAAAGACACTTTATTAGAATCCATTTCTTCCTGTGAACTATATGAAATATACTCTTCAAATAGAAGGCTGTAAAAAAAAACACATACACACAGAAATATCAGCATACATAAGAGTTACTATTTATTGAGTACCTACTATATTCTAAGTGCTTTAGAAATATTACCTCTAATTGTTATACTTATACAAGGTATAATTTAATACTTATTTTACAGATAAAGAAACTAGGGGTCTGGTGTAGTGGTTCACACCACTGGCATTACAATCTCCGCACTTTCAGAGGCCAGGGCAGGAGGACTGCTTAAGGTCAGGAGTTCGAGACCTGTCTGGACAACACAGCAAGACTATACTGCTATTTGAAACTGTGGTGGCTCACGCCTGTAATCCCAGTACTTTGGGAGGCCGAGGCAGGTGGATCATCTGAGGTCAGGAGTTTGAGATCAGTCTGACCAACAAGGAGAAACCTAGTCTCTACTAAAAACACAAAATTAGCCAGGTGTGGTGGCACATGCCTGTAATCCCAGCTACTAGTGAGGCTGAGGCAGGCAAATCGCTTGAACCTGGGAGGCAGAGGTTGCAGTGAGCTGAGATGGCACCACTGCACTCCAGCCTGGGCAATAAGAGCAAAACTCCATCTCAAAAGAAAAAAAAAAAAAGGAAAAGAAACTAGGGTATAAGTCTTCCAATTTGCTCACGAGAACAGCAACAAAAGGCAACACTCAGTGAGCCCTTCTGTGCCACAGAGTGCAGTTTCACATTTTAAGCCCCAGTCTGATTCTAGAGCCTATGTTCTCAACATTACTACATGTGTATACTCTCCTTTAATTCACAAACCAACCCTCTGAGCAAAGGGGCATGAACGATGCACACCAACACATAGGTACCCTCTTGATGCTACAAAATGGCAAAGTCACATCCAGTTTCACCTCCAAAACTTACTATAGTCCTGGAAGTGGTAAGGGCAGAATCACACCTATGTCTGACTGCAACGCCTACATCTTTTCACTGTATCAAGTTGCCCATTAAGAAAAAAAAAAAAGACTGAATTATCTTCAGAGCAATGAAATAATCCTTACTCTATGCCTACCTTCAATATTGTTTCTAAATGACATTTACGGCGTTTTAATTGTGATGTGTTATTTCAGATATTACGGTCCATTTACTAATAGAAAACTTCAAATGGCCAAAAACTGCGTTTAGTTATTACCCAAATTTAGCTTAACCACTAACTTTTCATTTTCATCTATAAGCACTAAAGGTATGCAAGAAGAATTACTTTTGCTTTTAATGCTGCCAGTTACTGGATTAAGTACTTATAGTTAACGAAATGATACAGACAAAACAAGATATACATTAAAAAAGAATACTGGGAAATTTCTAACCAATCTGGAAAATAATACTGAGTCACAAAAATGTAAATCAAAAGCATGTCAAAAATAATAGCTTACCTAGCCAACAAATGGTCTAAGTTGTTCTTCAGTGATATTTTTGTAAGTATAGCTTCTAAGTGTCTCTTGTAGATTTGACCATCTATTCCTTCAGTTTCTTCTCCTTAATATGTAGAAATTAAAATTGTGTTGGGAAAAATTTACTTTGCAAGCTAACATTATTAAATTCACTTATAGCAGAAAAACTTTCTCAGAATAAAACACACACACTGATATTCAGCTTTTTTATCTATTTCCAGAAGTGCATTCTACTTATTTAGTCATTTATATTTTTCAAAGCTTTTTTGTATAGATCACCTTCATTTTTACTTTATCTGAAATTCTCTATTTTTAACAAGTACTATCATGCTTATAACAATAATAAAACAAAAGTCCAAAATTAATCTTTCCCCAGGTAACATTACAAATTAGTTGTGATGTCCCAAACAACTATCTCTGAAAACACGCTAGACTTTCATCTCAGTACCTACCCCCTTACTGAACCAAGAGTTGTCATCTATTTCAGATTTATAATAAACGTATGAATCTGATCTTAGCCCTTGCTTTCAAAGAATAGGACATTACTCATTACCTTCAGAACAGGAAGAATACATTTTCATTTGGCTAGTCACTTTTCTAAAATGCATGTTTAAACCAAGATTTGGTTATGAAAATCTCATTTTCCAGTAGACTAACATAAGTTTAGAGAAGTCTTTCTTAGGATTCTCCAAGTAGCAACAGAACCTAGTGTTTCTTCCTAGTCTTTTCGTATTTATTAAAAGACGTAACGCAAACAATCAATTTCTAATTATAATTATTATTATTTTTGAGATAGAGTCTCGCTCTGTCGCCCAGGCTGAACTGCAGTGGCGCAAACACAGCTCCCTGTAGCCTCGAACTCCCTGGGCTCAGGTGATCTCCCACCTCAGTCTCCCGAGCAGCTGGGACCACAGTTGCATGTCACCATGCCCGGCTAATTTTTGTACATTTTTGTAGAGACAGGGTTTTGCCATGATCTGCCCGTCTCAGTTTCTCAAAAGTGCTAGGATTATAGGTTTGAGCCACCTGGCCCTCTAATTATTATTTTTTGCTTTGTTTCATAATTTGGATTTCTATGTATAAAAATTTTCTTGGTCTTTTTTTTTTTTTTTTTTTTTGAGACGGAGTCTTGCTCTGTAGCCCTGGCTGGCTGGAGTGCAGTGGCCGGATCTCAGCTCACTGCAAGCTCCGCCTCCCGGGTTTGCGCCATTCTCCTGCCTCAGCCTCCCCAGTAGCTGGGACTACAGGCGCCCGCCACCTCGCCCGGCTGGTTTTTTGCATTTTTAGTAGAGACGGGGTTTCACCGTGTTAGCCAGGATGGTCTCGATCTCCTGACCTCATGATCCGCCCGTCTCGGCCTCCCAAAGTGCTGGGATTACAGGCTTGAGCCACCGCGCCCGGCCGGTCTTATATTTTTAATTACTGTAGGGAAAAGACTTTTTTGGCAACTGGAGGAGATATTCACTGTAAATGAATCACTAAAGTTCATTAAATACCTAAATGAGAAGGCAAAGGTTTACTCAGTAATGAATTTTAAAATTATTCTAGTCTTTTTCATGAAGAGACTATTTAAGTATTTAAGAACACAGATCTAAAAAAAGAAAATTGGATTCTAAGAAATTACTCATTTAACAAGGATCTCTCTTCAACCAACCTGCTCCCCACCCCAAATGTTTCTCACTTAAGAAATAGATAAGTTACACAAGAACAACTGGAAAACAGAAATTTTAAATATTTTAAAGCCGTTAACCAGGATATAGTTACTATTTTAAGATAAAATCTTAGAAAATTTCTGGACAAAAAATATAAAACCACATACCTGTAACATGATGAATGATGGAGACAACCAGATGGGGAAGCATGTAACGCAGAAGAGGACTGACATCATAAGTTTCAGAAATCCCATGAAGTATTGTAATAAGATCGGGAACACTACATAAGTGAGGGAATGGCCTTTGAAGAAGCAAAAGTACATATCCTTTTGACTTTACAAGTTAAGACAGTAAGTGACAATATAAACAAATATACATAATCACTTATCTTACATCTTACAAAAAAAATTATTCAAAATAATTTTATTCACCTCTGACTAGCACCATTTCTCAATTCAATGGTACGTACTTTTTCCCAAGGCTCTCTGGCTTCTGTCTTTGCAGGAGCACTATCAAGCAACTTAATCCATCCTTGATCAAAGACGGAATCTTGGTCAATGTTTTGATGATCTGTGACGCCAATGAATTCACAAAGGTATCTTCCATGGTCACTTTCACAGAAATTTGACATATTATCATGTATGTTGCAGCTCTGTAATCTGGTAAAGATGATTTCAATCCCTAAATATTTTTTAAATATAAGGAAAAATGATAAACTATATTATTTTCTGCTACTTTAAATGTTAATCTGACAAATTAGAAATGTCATAGAGATTAATACAACCTAATGCATAAGCAATCACTCTTCAGACGTAAACAATAAAGGAGCTGACCCCTTTTTCAAAGTGGATACAGAGATAAGTCCGTTGGACAAGAAAAAGGATCTCAGAAAATTTCCCAACTCAAACATCTACCGCATGTCCTAACAGGAGCCAGTAAGCTCTTCTTTTATACATAAAATCCTACTTATGGGAGGGAGACCTCAATCAGATCACTAATGGAAGAAACAAGTCTGATGAAAGATAACAAGTTGGGACACTGTGGGAAGTAAAAGCAGTACCTCCATGGGGCACCTGGGAAGGCAGCAGGCAACAAGGCATTTGGGAAGGAGAAACGCTGAGAGGCAGGAGCCAGTGCACAAAGAATGCTGAGAGGCTGCTTACGCCCCGAAGAGACTGTGTGCTCCATCCTTCTTCCAGTGAGGTACAGAGACTGCTATGGAAATCAATCTAGGAGACAGCAGCAGGGCCAGACAGCCAATGTTTATTCTTAAGAGTCCTGATTAAGGTCCCAGTCTGGTGAGTTTCCAATAAAAAAGTGTCATATTTTCAACCTGAAGGCTAAATCTCATCAACCATCTGAAATAAACTGTCCATTTAAAAACACTTAAATCTAAAAAAACTTTCAAAAGCAAGAAAATTCCTTTAAGTACAAAGTAATCTACTTAACACATCAGCAGTGCCAACCTTTTGGATATAGGGAAATAGTTTGGCGATGATATTGTCTGATACGTCCTCTGCAGCTACCAGCGCCGACACTATGGTAGAAGCATAGAAAGCCAAGAGCACCCTCAACTGAGCTGAGCTGCCCGGGGACTCAGCAAAAACCTGAAATAAGGAACACAAACAAAACACATTTAACAGTGAAAGGGAGGAAGAAGGATTGCTTGAGGCCAGGAGTTCGAGGCTGACACTTCAGTGAACTATGATGGCACCACTGTACTCTAGCCTGGGCGACAGAGCAAGACCATGTCTCCAAAAAAAAACAAAAAACAAAACAAAAGCGAAAGGCCAAATAAATATTTACAGTTCTCCTGAACTACCATATGCAACAATGAATAAATACACGTGACAAGAATTAACTGCCTAATGATATTCCTAACATTTTAATTTTTTTTTTTTTTTTTTTTTTGAGACGGAGTCTTGCTGTCGCCCAGGCTGGAGTGCAGTGGCCGGATCTCGGCTCACTGCAAGCTCCGCCTCCCGGGTTTAGCCATTCTCCTGCCTCAGCCTCCCGAGTAGCTGGGACTACAGGCGCCCGCCACCTCGCCCGGCTAGTTTTTTGTATTTTTTAGTAGAGACGGAGTTTCACCATGTTAGCCACGATGGTCTCGATCTCCTGACCTCGTGATCTGCCCGTCTCGGCCTCCCAAAGTGCTGGGATTACAGGCTTGAGCCACCGCGCCCGGCCACATTTTAATTTTTTAAATTTTTTTTTGAGAAGGAGTCTCACCCTGTCGCCCAGGTTGCAGTACAGTGGCACAATCTTGGCTCACTGCAACCTCCACCTCCCAGGTTCAAGCAATTCTCCTGCCTCAGCCTCCTGAATAGCCGGGATTACAGGCACGCGCCACCATGCTCAGTTTATTTTTGTATTTTTAGTAGAGATGGTGTTTCACCACGTTGGTTGGCCAGGCTGGTCTCAAACTCCTGACGTCAAGGGATCTGCCTGCCTCGGCCTCCCAAAGTGCTGGGATTACAGGCGTGAGCCACCGTGCCTGGCCTTGTCATTTTTTAAACAGCTTTCCCAGGTTGAATATTCCTGACATTTCTAGAAGCCTCTTCGAATAGTCACTGTAACTAGAATCTGGCAAGGAATAGGCATTTATTTTTGTAGAAAAACACCTTTGGTGATAAAAGATTGATTCTTTAAAAAACAAAACAAAACAAAAAAAAACAAAAAAAACACCACGGACTCTCAAACTACTCCTGCTTCAAAACACCAGACCATTTAACAAAATAAATTTATCCAAAGTACTACTGTTATTAGGGTATGCTTTAGTATGTTTTCTTCATTCAAAGCAGGCAATCTTTTCATAAAATTATATACTCATGAAACAAGATCGCTCACCTTCACAGATTTTGTCACCAAACTACAAATGAAATCCATGAATCCAAGATCTTTGTAGCAGTGGGTAATCAAAGTTCCTTTAGCTAAGGGCACTCCAGATTGCTGTTATTGACAGAAAGAACAAACTCTTAGCGACATTCATCAACTGATCCTTATTTAAAAGTACCCTAGTAACGTCTTCACACTGCTCCAATTCATAAATTAAAAATATAATCGCTCCTTATAACTGGTGTTGGTGATGAAATTAACACAGAAAATCATGTAAACTTAGAAATTCAAAAGAGAAGGTCAGCAAAGAGGGCAGAGGTATTTAGTGAAAAATGTTTGCTTATCATATGTCACATTTTGAAAGGTATTTATCATAATCTGGATGCTCTAGATTCTCAGAAATTTTACCGGTTCGATATGGTTTCTGAGCCAATATGATATGCTTCTGTCATTGCTTTACAATAACGCTAAGAACAGAAATAGACGAGGAACGTGGAAAACTTATACCACTATTCCCACCATCTAACATTGTACATGGTATGTAATAGATGCTCAATAAATATTAAGTGAAAGGAGAATTTTAAGTGAACTTTAGTAGGTGAGTGGAGTTTGGATACCTGGAATAAGAATGCCTAGGGAGCAGCAAGGTCCAAGGGTAGATCAGAGGAAGAATAATTTTGATGCTATGGGCAGAGTGAATGTTGCGAAAAGCAGTTTAAGACCTTTATCAAAGGCTGGCCTTCTCCAACGTTCTTTAAAGTGCTTTACATTCAGATTCTTAAATTATCCTTCTAATTAAAGAGTCCTCATTCCTCCTGTCTTACTAATTCTGAACACTGACCCCACTACCATCATCAGCCAAATGTGCACAGCCCCATGATCTGTTAGCTTACTCTCATTCCAATGTGCCTCCTCTCCTACCCTGGATCACCATGCTCAATATGCAGTAAAGTTCCTGCTAACAACATACGTCTACTTTCCTCCCATATGCTGCAAAGTGCTAACGGTTAGTCAGTTGGTTTGCCTACAGTATCATGCTGTCTTTTCTTACCCAGACCCTTCCTGTTACACAAGCATCCTTTTATTCATCTGTAAATTAATTACTAGCATCTTCCTCACAACTTTAATAAATTATTGAAGCCCCTGAAGTTATCTTTATCCTTTTCATTTTTGTAAGTATTTTCTGCCTTTGTTCGTCTTCAAGTTCTCAGTTCCAAAATTTAAAATGCCAAACAGCATGGTACAACAGAAAGGCACAGGCTCTGGAATCAGACTGGGGTTCAAATCTCAACTCTGCCACTTTTTAGTTATGTGAACTTTGGCAAGCAGCCTGTCCTCATCTGTAAAAATGAAGTTTTGTGATAATCCAAGATAATATAATGTACATTGCCTAGCCTGACGTCAGATACTAAATAAAAGCTAAATATTATGAACATTAATAATAGTTTCAATTGGAAGTTAGGAAATAAAAATGATGGAGGTAATCATCTGGACTATCCCCAAGAGCACTGACTTATTTTTTCCTAATTAAATCCCTTAATCAAGATTTGTAATGATTACAGACATGTGTCATTCAGCAATCGTACCTTAACTGGCAACAACCAGAACCATTTGTGCTTTGAATTATTAATTTTTAGAAGCTGTATGACTCGCACAAATATTCTTGTCTCGTGGTATGGCAGAACACAAGCAATGAGGCTATCTTGATTATAGAGATGTATATGGAACCTGGGGAAAAAAAGCAAACAGTCCAACTGGATACAAAACTTAATAATAAGCACCTATTTCCTCACATGCTCAAACTGTATATTAATGAGCTAAAACAACCTAGAATGAGTAGCAGTGAAAATCACACAATTATAAGCAAGACACAGAGCATTTAAAAAGTCCTCAATTGTGCATTTGCATACCCCTCAACATGGTCCAGCCAATCCTATGCAATATCTTTGAATATTCAACATCAAAATCTACATCCCATTTTCTCTCAGCTTTAAAATTTTCATTTATTTTTTTGAAATAGAGTCTTGCTCTGCCACCCAGGCTGGAGCACGATCATGGCTCACTGCAGCCTTGACCTCCCAGATTCAAGTGATCCCCCCACCTAGGTCTCCTGAGGAGCTCGGACCACAGGTGAGCACCATCGCAGCTGGCTAATTTTTCATTGCCATATAGAGACCAAGTCTCCCTATGTTGCCCAGACTAGTCTCTCAACCATTTTTTTTTTTCGAGAGGGAGTCTTGCTGTTCCCCAGGCTGGAGTGCAGCGCCACAATCCCAGCTCACTGCAACCTCCACCTCCCAAGTTCAAGTGATTCTCCTGCCTCAGCCTCCCAAGTAGCTGGGACTACAAGCGTACACCACCACGCCCAGCTAATTTTTTTCTTTTTACTTTAGTAGAGATGGGATTTCACCATGTTGCTCAGGCTGGTCTCCAACTCCTGAGCTCGGGCAATCCACCCACCTCAGCCTCCCAAAGTGCTGGGAATACAGGCGTGAGCCCCTGAACCCAGCCTATTAGTTTGACATATAATTTTAGCACTATCCAAGCCATTACTTTTACCATGAAGCTTTCTTCAACTATTCCAGGCAGAACTACATCCAAAAACTGTGCTTAATCCTTTATTACGGCATTTATTTCAAAACAGTAATCAAGGGCAATGTACTTATCTGTGTACTGAACTTAGTATTTGCTGAATAAATAAATAAGTTATCTGAAGAAATAAAATGAAAAATCAAATGCAGAAAGTATAAGTATTTCTTACATTAATGATCTATTTGGGGGTAAAATTAAGTGCTAGAAAACGGATGGAAATATTACAGACTTTTAAATATTCTTTTTTGTCTGACTGCCCTAATGTTCTGACAATCAGAAGACCCAAGATAAAATTATGTTTTCTTGATGACTCACTTGCTTCTTGAAAAAAAATTAGTTTATCCTCATGTCTCCATTTTTTGTGTGTTTTTTGATACGGAGTCTCCCTCTGTTACCCAGGCTGGAGTGCAGTGGCGCAATCTCAGCTCACTGCAAAATCCGTCTCCTGAATTCAAGTTAATTCTCCTGCCTCAGCCTCCCAAGTAGCTGGAATTCCAAGTGCTCACCATTGCACCTAGCTCATTTTTGTCTTTTTCATAGAGACGGGTTTTACCATGCTGGCCAGGCCATGTCTCCAATTAATGGAATAGAAATCTACTTTTAAAATATGTAAGGTGGACTGGGTGTGCTGGTTCATGCCTGTAACCTCAGCACTTTGGGAGGCCGACGAGGCAGGAGGATCGCTGGAGGCCAGGAGTTCCAGACAAGCCCAGGCAACAAAGTGAGATACTATCTCTACAAAAAAACGAAAAAACGAAAAAACTAGCTGGGCATGGTGGTGCATGTCTGCAATCCCAGCTACTTGGGTGGCTGAGATCTGAGGATCATCTGAGCCCTGGAGGTCAAGTGGGCCATGATCACACCACTGCACTCCAGCCTGGGTGACAGCGTGAAATCCCGACACTCAAAAAAAGTAAAAATGAAAAAGACAGTCGTGTGCAGGGGCTGCAGAGGCTCACACCAGCACTTTGGGAGGCTGAGGTGGGTGGATCATGAGGTCAGGAGTTTGAGACCCGCCTGGCCAACATGGGGAGACCTTGCCTTTACAACAAAAAATACAAAAAATTAGCTGGGCTTGCTGGTGGGCGCCTGTAATCCCAGCTGCTTGGGAGGCTGAGGCAGGAGAATTGCTTGAACCTGGGAGGCGGAGGTTGCAGTGAGCTGAGATCGTACTAATGCACTACAGCTGGGGCGACAGTGCGAGACTATCTCTAAAAAAAAAAAAAAGACATATATAATGGGCAAATAAACAATACAAAAATGTGTATGCTGTGATGTGATACCAATATGCGAGAACATAAACCTAGGAAACTTATTGAGACAATTCCCAAAGCAGATAAAAGATCAGACCTTGGAAATAAACTTCAGTTGTATCCTAGCTCTGCCACTTACTAGCTGTGTGACTCAAGGAACTTAACCCCTCTAAGCCTCAGTTTTCTCAACTGTAAAACAAGGATAATACAAGTAATCTCACCAGAGGAATGCTGTGAAAATTAAATGAGATAATGCAGGTAAAGTGCTTAGCAAGGCCTGGTGTATACATGCTCAAAACACATTAGCTACCACTGTTTTTCTCAAGTAATGGTATTTCAGAGGATAACACTGCCTGCTTCCCCAACCATTTTGTTATTTTGCCAAGAAAGAAGCTTAATACTCATTGCCCCAAGTGTACAGGAACAAGCTGTAATGGCAAAGTGACATGGGCTCCTTAGAAATAATGAGGTTAGGCTGGGCGAGGTGGCTCAAGCCTGTAATCCCAGTACTTTGGGAGGCTAAGGCTGGTTGATCACCTGAGGTCAGGGGTTCAAGACCAGCCTGGCTAACATGGTGAAACCCCATCTCTACAAAAACACAAAACAGCCCGGCATTATGGCAGGTGCCTGTAATCCCAGCTACTTGGGAGGCTGAAGTGGGAGAACTGCTTGAACCCGGGAGGCAGAGGTTTCAGTGAGCCAAGATTTTGCTATTGTACGCCAGCCTGAGTGACAGAGCAAGACTCTATCTCAAAAAAAAAAAAAAAAAAAAGAACTAATGAGGTTAGACCATTTACTCAAAATAATCAGTAGTTCTACTTTTCACTATCAACAAAAAAAGAATTTAAAGGCAGAAGAGCATGTTTATCTCACACGACGGACACTGTATCAATCTCTTAATACACCTAATTTTTCAGCTTTCACTTGATAAGTTTTCTCAACTACTTAATTTTTTAAAAGACCAAAGTGATTAGCCCACAGTTATTTCTGTAATTCTATTAGCTACCTGTGAATCAACCACTCCAGACACTTCTGTGCCGGCTTAAGCAGGAAGTAAGGCGACAAGTGAATAAGAAATAATGAAATGTTTTCATCCAACTGTTTGTTTACTGCTTTGGTCTGAACACTTCGCTCCAAGGTTTTTGCTAGCTGACTGAACAACGGTGCTTCAAACTGCTCAAAGGAAGGATCAATTCCAAGCAACTCTTCCAGGCCAGTGCATCCTAAATTTCAAAAACAGCCAGTTTATTTAACAATTCTTTACAAGCAAACTCATCCCACCCCTCTTTTACAGTTTTACTTACCCCTAAGAAGTCTCTGAATTCTTTAAGTACATATAATTTATAATACAGTCCCAAACACTGATTTCTAGTTTTCAACATATAGAGTAAATCCCATCTCATCTACTAGAACAGAAAGCACTTCGTGGCAGGGAACATTGCCTTTTTGTTTGTTGGTTTTTTTTTTTTGGCTATCCCCTACAATAACTAGGCCAGTCCCTGAGAGGACTTCTCCTCTCAGTCACTGCCTCCATCCCCTTTTAGCTGTTCTTCTTTCTGACATATTAGTTGACCTCTCTTAACCTCGTTTCATCTGTGAAATCCAGACACCACTACTCATAAACATTTCAAGAACCAAGCACCTGGCTCTTATGTTCTCTTTCCTTTAAAACATACGTCATCATGTTAGAAACTGCTAAGGAAGAGGACAAGGCAAAAGAGAAAACAAACAAACAAAAAAGTAACATCCAGAAAACGCTTCAAAGAGCTTTTCGAAGTTAAAAGATGGCTCACCTATGGCAAAGGCGGTGTCTCTGTCGATGGTGGCCGCTTCCTTAGGGTCAAACAACAAAGAGGCAACTTCATCTCTAGACAAGAGGCTGGCATCACTTTGAGGGAGGGCGAGTCGTTGGAGCTGCTGGGCTAAGGACGTCATCTTTCACGCCAGCGGAGTTTTAATGACACAGGCTAAAAAAACATAACCACTTTCAGAAGTTTCTACGAAACTATAAGGCGCCTGATAAACAAACAATTTTCCTCTGCGCTCAGAGCCGTCATGGACACACAACACGGCTGTCCTGAGATTTCTGGACCCCGGAGAGGCAAAGACGATGGCAACAGCGCTAACAACTAATTACAGTACCGGCGACCGCGCCAAGGTTTTCCTTCAAACCTGATTCCGCAGATATCCGGAAAACTCTTACCCTCCCTCAGTATGCCGTCCCCATCCGCAGCCACATCAAGCGGCTCTGTGCTCCTCCTTACCAGGAACTGGGAATTTGGGTATATCTTGGAATGCAACAACTCTTCACAGCAGCTCCCACATGGTACCAATGAACCCTACCCTCAACCGGAAACCTAAAACACGCTGTAAAGCAGCTTCCGGCTGCAGGCACTACGGCAAGTGAAGAGGTTCAAGCTTGCCGGGAATGGGACGAGACAGCTCCGCCTCCCGAGACGAAAGCCCGCCCCCTCAGCCCGCCCCCTCAGCCCGCCCCTCAGCCCGCCCCTCAGCCCGCCTCTCAGCCTGCCGGACTCAGGCTCAAGTCTGAGCGTCGTCCGCGTAGCTCCAGTCTATCCGTCTGCGCTGCGGCTCATGTCTGAAGCTTTCGGTCTCTGGATGGGCCTTCTGTGGGCTTTAAGGATCCGTAGCCGGAATCATTCATTCAGTATATAGTGATCTAGCCTTTACTAGATGCCAGCGGCACCGCGTAGTGCTGAAAGCCACGGGTTGTGAAGTCACGTGGTTTGGGTTTAAATCCTGGCGCTGGCGCCTGTCGACCGGGTGAACGCCACTAAATTATTTCATCTCTCTGAGCTTGTTCCTTACTCTACGAAGTGGGAAGAGGCCGAGTTTGTCGTGAGATGAGCTTCTGCTGCTAGTGCAAACCGATCTATGAATGCTGGGCTCCACCGCCCCAGAGCTTGGGGCAGATCTTGTTACTCCTCTTTGTTTCCATTCCCGAGGGGTACGTCGCATATATTTTTTTCTTTCAAAACGAATCCTAGCCGGACGCGGTGGCTCACGCCTGTAATCCCAGCACTTTGGGAAGCTGAGGCGGGCTGATCACCTGAGGTCAGGAGTTCGAGACCAGCCTGGCCAAAATAGAGAAACCCCGTCTCTACTAAAAATAAAAGAATTAGCCGGCCGTGGTGGCGGGTGCCTGTAATCCCCGCTATTAGAAAGGCTGAGGCGGAAGAATCGCTGGAACCCGGGAGTCGGAGGTTGCAGTGAGCCAAGATTGCACCACTGCACTCCACAGAGCGAGACTGTCTCAATAAATAAATCAATAAATCAATAAGTCGAATCCTGTTGAGGTACAATTTACAAACAATAGTTGTACCCACTTCAGTGGAAGAGTTTGATGACTTTTAGCAAATGCATGTATTGGTATAATGTACCTCCCCAGTCAAAATCACAAAGTTTTCATCGCCACTAAAAGTTGTCTCTTGACTGTTTGCGAAGATTCCTGCAACCACTGGTCTTCTTGGCGTTACTACAAATTAGTGTTGCGGAAGAGACAGTATCCTTATGTGTGAATATACCTAATCTGTTTCCAAAACACTGTGCTACGCGCTAGAACTAGGATGAACTGACGTCTTCCAGACGGAGTGAGATCGGATGCTCTATCTTTTCTGGATGCGTTAACTTCTCTGAAGAGCTCTCCGGGGCCAGGGGGTCAAGACGCCTTTCTGTAACTGTCTTCCCTGGAGAATGTCGGAAACACAGCCACAAATCTGGAGGCCCTGGTTTTCTATACTTCATGCAGATTCTCTTCCATTTACAGTCTTTTGTTGTTGGTTTGCTTTAAAAGCATTTAAAACAACTAAATATTTTCTTCAGTAATTAGTATTTCTACTGATCGTTAATAATCTTCTTTCCATGTGGTGTTAAGTGCCTTACAGAGAACAACATGAAAATTCTGGTAGTACCTATTTCATTCTTACAAACAGATCTCTCAAAGGAATTTTTTTTTTCTTTCTAACGTGTCACAAGAATTTTACCTTTACAGAAGCAATCAGCTTTCGGTACTTTATAAGAAATGAACACCAGGTCTGTTTTATCGATAAGATAATTTGCTTTTCTTGCTTAAAAAATACCCTATATATTTTTTAAAAGCTTTATCAAAGTGAAACTTTAAAAAGTGCTACAAAGAGTTGACTCAGTCCTTTCTATGTCAGCTGTGATGGCATATAGTGCCATGCCGAATTTTACTTTGGAAAGTAAAAAGGAAAACAAGTTAGATGTTCATAAATGTAATTTTTTAAAAAAAGCTTTGGTTTTAAAAAATGTAATAATCTTGAATTATATATTTTTTTTCCATTTTAAAAGAATTATTTGGATTTGTTCTGATTATTACATCCTCGAACTTTCTAATTATGTGCCTGTCTCACAGATTATTCAATTGAGGACAAGAACAAACTTAATTTCTCTTGTTTTTGAATTTAAAATACCAGTTATAGATCATAGGTAGCTCTGCAATTCTCCTACCCAATAATCCTTTTCATGGCTTTTGCTATTTACAATTTTTAAATCCATAATTTTAGCCATGATTGACATGCATTTCTTGATAGAAGGAAAAGCATTGTTTTCAGAGACACTTGAACCATACATTCTTTTGTTCTGACTGGCGGCGGAGTTCTCACAGCAGAGTGGTCAATTCTATTGCTCATTTCAATAACTGTTCATGGCATGGACTCTACCTTAAAAAAAGCAGATTTGTAAGAATGATTTGAATGAGTTTTTTAACAGGATATTCTCCCTCTCCTACCCTACCACCCCTTTTAATCCAGAGTAGAGATACCTTGATTCATTCCATGTGTACTTACGACAGGCTGAGGGTATAGGGGTGAACAAGAGACTGAGGTCTTTCGGTGAAACCCCGTCTCTACTAGAAACAACAAAAAATTAGCCGGGTATGGTTGCCGGGCCTGTAGTCCCAGCTACTCGGGAGGCTGAGGCAGGAGAATGGCCTGAACCTGTGAGGCGGAGCTTGCAGTGAGCCGAGATCACGCCACTGCATTCCAGCCTGGGGGACAGAGCGAGACTCAGTCTCAAAAAAAAAAGAAAAAAAAAAAAGACTGAGGTCTTTGCTCTTGTGTAACTTGCATTCCAGCAGAGAGGCAATACACAAACAGATAAACCGGAAACAACCAGGAAATGTGATAAATGCTTGATGACAATAATACAAAGCTGTATAATAGGAGTGACTAGAAGGTGTCATTAGTTTGAGTTGTTAGCGACCTTTAAACTGAGACCTAAATTTAAGCTGAAACTTGAATTTAAACTGATACCTGAATGAGAAGTCTTGAAAAAATTGAGGTCATCCCAGGTAGGATTGATCTTGGCATTTACTCCACTCCAATCACAAGGGATCCTTTCTGTCCATCAGATATACCAAGCTGGTATTTTCTTCATAGCCATTTTCCCTACTTGAAATGACCTGATTTGTCTGTTTGGTTACCAGCTTATTTCTTGTATTCCCTCACTATAATACTGGCTTCAGCAGGTTGGCAGTAAGCCCATCCCTAAGATTTATGGAGCCTGAGAAAGAGTACAGATGGACTCACTGCTGTAGGTATAAATATTTAAAAGTTATGAATCAACTTAACACATTATTAACTAGGATATGCTATAACTCTCAATATTGGCGGTAAACATTTATAATGGCAAAATAAAAATGTTTTTATATAGCTGAAAATCAGCAAAATCTGATTGCATTTACTTATTATCATACCTGTCCAGGTGTCCTATTGATTGGCTGTTGGTTTTGGATGAGTAATAAAGGTTTCTATAGTTAATAGATTTCCTATATATTTAGCCCATGAAAATTTGCCTTCATTTCAGCAAAATTACCATGTATGCTGTTTAATCAAGATTTTTATGTAATTGTGTTCTATCAGAAATAATGATCAAAAAGGATTAAAAGCAAAATTTAATTATATTCAAAATGTAGAAAGTTTGAATGTTTTAATAAAAATATAAATTAATTTAAAAAGCAATACATTAAATCTTTTGCACCTTTCTTGTAAGATGTAAAATATAATTAGTGACAACATATTTATTTATTTATTTATTTATTGAGACAGATTCTCACTCTGTCACCCAGGCTGGAGTGTAGTGGCACGATCTCAGCTCACTACAATCTCTGCCTCCCAGGTTCAAGCAGTTCTCCTGCCTCAACCCCCCGAGTACCTGGGACTACAGGTGCACACCGCCATGCCCAGCTAATTTTTATATTTTGAGTAGAGACAGGGTTTCACCATTTTGGCCAGGATGGTCTTGATATCCTGACATTGTGATCCGCCTGCCTCGGTCTCCTGAAGTGTTGGGATTACAGGTGTGAGCCACCGCACCCGGCCTTTTTTTCTTTTCAGACAGTCTTGCTCTGTCGCCCAGGCTGGAGTGCAATGGCGCGATCTCAGCTCACTACAACCTCCGCCTCACTGGTTCAAGCAATTTTCTGTCTCAATCTCCCGAGTAGCTGGGATTACAGGTGCCCGCCACCACACCCGCTAATTTTTGTATTTTTAGTAGAGACAGAGTTTAATTAGTGACAAAATTTACATAAATCTAAAGTTTTATTTGTTTTTTGGTAAATATTACTTAATGAAAGTTTTCATAAAAGTAAATTACTCACAAGCGTATCATTCAATGTCCACCTAGTTGCCAGTGTAAAGAACTGGTATCACCCTTCATTCATGTTATGTCTGTATCTACCTCTTTTCAAATTTCAGAGTATGTGAATTGTTTAATATTGTTAGATGTTCCTCAGCAACCATATCTGATTGTTGAGCACTCTACACTAATTCCTGAGTATATCCAGAACCATAAATTGGCAGTGGGGGAGGGGGTGGCGGGGAAGGAAATAAGAAATTACATTTTTGAAACTACTTAGATAGAATACTTTATAATGCAAAAATATGTTCATGTAGTTTGAAAGGAAGAGTGTGACAAATTAACTTTTCTCTTACCTAAGCATTTCTGTATTCATCATCCTGGTCGGGTCCTGGCCAGGTGCGGTGGCTCATGCCTGTAATCCCAGCACTTCGGAGGCTGAGGTGGGCAGATCACCTGAGGTCAGGAGTTTGAGACCAGCCTGGCCAACATGGTGAAACCCTGTCTCTACTAATAATACGACACCGCCAGGCATGGCGGGTGCCTGTAATCCCCGCTATTAGAAAGGCTGAGGCAGGAGAACTCTCTGAACCAGGAGGTGGAGGTCTGCCGTGAGCGCAAGATTGTGCCATTTGCACTCCAGCCTGGGCGACAAGAGTGAAACTCCGTCTCAAAAATAAAACGAAACAAAAAACAAACAAACAAAAACCAAATTCTCCCTATGCTCTTAAGCAGCGTCCGGAAACAGTACAATCCACGGATA